AAAAGTATCAAAAGCCAAGATATGTGAAAGAGACCAAAGAACATGCAGTTAGAATTCAAATTTAGCCTGATGATGCCAAGCAGGATTCAGAAAAAGAAAAAAAAAAAAAAAAAACCCCGAGGATCCCATAAGATCAACATACAGTTTACTATGATTCCTAAGTATTTCCTTACCTAACATGAAGCCAGTATTATGACTGTGAATATACACACACATTAGCCATAAGGAACAACTAACTAGACAGAGAATACCCTCTTCACTTAGAAGATGTTCTATCTTCAAAGTGATTTTTATCTTTCAGTTTGCCTGAAACTTTCAAATACACACGTAAAAAGAAAAAAAAATTCTAAACCATATAGCAGAGTGTAAACCAAAATGACAAAGTTTACTCATGCCCCCCCTCCAAATTCCTTCCCCCAAACCAAAACAACAATTATTTAACAGGTTTTTTTTTGGGGGGTAGGGTAATTCTTGGATGAATTTCTACTTATATATAAACATGGACATATATTTTTAAAGGTTTTTTTTTAAACACAAAGAAGATCATACTTAGATTGACTTATAATATCTAACAATAAGGAGACCACTAATATCTCCTTCATATTTCCACATCAGCCTATGTAAATCTTTTACCTCACTCTTGTTAAAGACTTCTTAGTATTCCTGTTACTATACTTTAGCCAGTCCACCATAAAAAGGACATTTAGTTTGCTTCTTTTTGTCTTATTATTTGCTAATTCTACACAATGCTTTGATTAATATACCTGTACATTCAAGAGTGAATACTTACAGCTAATGTATCTTTAGGAAATGTTTCTTAATGTTAATTTCCTGGGTCAAATAATAAGTTTACATTTCCACTCACCAAGTATGAGTGCTCACATATCCAATATTAGGTTTACCAAGTTTTTCATTTTCACAAGTCTGATAGTTGTTTAAAATAGCATCTTTCTACTTTAATGTGCTTTTTTTCCACTTATAGGTAAGACAAAGAATCTTTTCAAAATTTTATTGGTTGCATTTGCCACTTTTTTCTCCCTATAAATGGTATGCTCCTATTTTCCCAATTCTTATTAGGTTGCTATCCTTTCTTCTTCCTGATTTTAATATATTTTTGTATAGCTAGGAAACTTGTCCTTGACAGGTGTTGCAAATACAAATCTTTACCAGGTTATATCTATCAATTTTATTTAAAGAAAAGTTTTTTGTCATGAGTAATTTAAAAACTTTACAAAGTCAATTTTGTTATTTTTCTTGGCTTTGAAATTACTTCCCCATATCCAAGATAATATACTGACCTTGTGAATTATTCTAACACTTTAATAGTTCCACTAACAATCTAGAATTTACTGGGCCTAAATTTTGGGCAGAAAATCCAGTTTTTCTTTTTCCTTCATAGAGCCAGCCAGTTTTCTAAAACTATTTATTAAATAATCCATCTATTCTAAGATACAGAGCTTCCCTCGTAACTCAGTCAGTAGAGTCTGCCTGCAGTGCAAGAGACCTGGGTTTGATTCCTGGCTGGGGAAGATACCCTGGAGAAGGAAATGGCAACCCACTCCAGTGTTCTTGCCTGGACAATCTCACGGACAGAGGAGCCTGGCAGGTTATAGTCTATGGGGTCGCAAGAGTCAGACATGACTGAGAGACTAAGTCCACACATATTCTAAGAAATCAAATGTCATCATCATCATATACTTAACATCATCAGACACTAAACTCCGTTTCTACACACGCCTAAGCATGATTCTCACTTTTGTTCTATTGTTTGTCAGTCTGCTTCTGCACAGGTACAAGTATTATATTACCACAGTTGTACTGCATCTGTAAACATCTGGTAGGGATATCTCATTACACTTTCTCCTTTAGAATTCTCCTTGCTATGCTCATATTTATTTTCTAGAGAAAAAAAAAGGGGGGGGCCTTTTTTTTTAATGTCTCCTCTTAAATTGGGGGGGGGGGATTATTATTGAGACTGAACTTAATTTATACATTAATTTAGAAAAGAACTCATGGTTCTCCAACATTGAGTCTTACCAGTCACTAGCTGTATGTAGCAGTAGAGATAAACATGATGATACCTGTCATTGTTGGGTACTGTATGCCAAGACTATTGGATGAGCTTGTTTCAATAATCAAAATAACCTTATGTGGTACCATTATCTTTGTTTCATAGATGAGAAAATTGAGGCTCACAAATTAAGCAACTTGTCTAAGGCCACAAAAAATACAAATATGCTGAGATTTTAATCTGTGCAATATGATTTGAGTCTACACTTTGAATTATAGTAAATAAAAATGAGGTATGCCTTTTCACTTATACAGCTGTCCTCTAATGACTTTTTAGCTTTCTTCTTTTAGGCCATACAAATTAATTGTTAACTCCTAGGTAAAATTAGTTGCTATTAATATTTTAAATGGGACCTCTCCTTTTATTATGCAGTTGACCCTTGAACAGGCAGGGGTTAATCTGTGTATAATTTACAGTCAGGCCCTCTGGATTAGGAGTTTCTCCACATCCACAGATTTAACCAACCATAGACCTTGTCGTTTTGTAGTTACTGTTGAAGAATATCTGTCTATAAGTGAACCCATGCAGTTCAACATTAACTTTGAAATTATCCACTTTACAGAATTCTCTTATTGGCCCTAATAGTTTTTTAGTTAATACTACAATCATATCATTGGCAATTTTTTTTTTTTTTTTGTCCACACAGAGCCATGTAGCTCTGTCTTTATTTTAATATCATACTTACTTCCCAGAGGGCTTCCCTAATAGCTCAGTTGGTAAAGAATCCACCTGCAACAAAGGAGATCCCAGTTTGATTCCTGGGTCTGGAAGATCCGCTGGAGAAGGGATAGGCTACCCACTCCTGTATTCTTGGGCTTCCCTTGTGGCTCAGCTGGTAAAGAATCTGCCTGCAATGCAGGAGACCTGGGTTGGGAAGATCCCCTGGAGAAGGGAAAGGCTACCCACTCCAGTATTCTGGCCTGGAGAATGCCATGGACTGTATAGTCTATGGGATCACAAAGAGTCAGACACAACTGAGTGATTTTCACTTTCACTTTACTTCCCAGAAGTATTTTGAGAGGAAACTGATGATTCATTTAGGTTTTGACATTTTTTGATTCTGGAGTTTGTTTTTTTCCACCTTTTGTGTCCATACTCTCTCTTTATTCTTTATCTTTGTTCATAGCACTGTATAATTTTATTGGCAAATATTTTTAACTTCAATATGTTCATTCCAATATTTATATTTCTCCACATCTAATGGAATCAATTTTGCATGCCTTAGTAATAGTACATTACTCTTTCAGTGTGCTACTAGATAAATTTGGAATATTTACTTTATGACCACTGTCTAAGTGAGATTAGTCTACAATTTTCTTTGTATTTCTTTCAAAGGTTTAGCATCATTCTTTTTTATGATTTCACATCTTCTTTTTCTATGCTTTGGAACAGTTTAACCAGCATCAAAATAATCTTAACCTTTAAAAGAATTCACCTATGAAATTGTTTGGATTTAGTGCTTTTTGACACTCAATTTCTTCTTCCACAACTATTGTCTATTTAGATTCTCTCTCCTCTGAAGTCACTTTGTTAATTTATATTTTCCTAGTACATCACTTGGATTTATTTTAAATGGTACTGAGTTATTCTCCTACTTGCATAAAAACTACAATAATTTTGTCTCACAAAAAAAAACACGAGCAAACATATAAATCAACCTTATCGGAGAACACTCACAGCCAGGATAAATTAAATGTATAAAACTTGGAGAAAATCACTGGCACACAGTTTTTAGGCAGGCCATGGGTTTTGGAAAAAAAACCCTTTAATTAGGTCTTTATAAGTAGTGAAATACTGCTAGCATGTTAATACCCAAAGAACTGTTGAGTAAAAGAGAAATAAATCTGACACTATTGGCTACCTGATGTGAAGAGCTGACTCATTTGAAAAGACCCTGATGCTGGGAAAGATTGAAGGTGGGAGGAGAAGGGGATGAGAGAGGATGAGATGGTTGGATGGCATCACTGACTCAATAGACATGAGTTTGGGTAAGCTCCAGGAGTTGGTGATGGACAGGGAGGCATGGCGTGCTGTAGTCCATGGAGTTGCAAAGAATCGGACACGACTGAGTGACTGAACTGAACTGAACTATGAACTATTTTAAAAACTCTATCTTGCTACAAGGTGCAGAATGGTTGTCAGTTAGATAGTATATGCATTAAATATATATGAACTATAATTGGGAGAAAAAAAAAAAACTGTGTGCAACGCTCTTAAGTGTTACTACTCCAGTAGTCTAATCTCTAAAAATAGGCTAAATGTCAAAGTAGAAGATGACACTCAAATATTTAATGAGTACTTACTATGAGGTGGGCACTGTGTCAGAGACACAGAAATGGTGAAGACATGGTCCCTTGGTTCAAAAAACTTATTCCCTTAGCCCCTAGTTCCAACATGACACACTTGTAATAAATTCACAGTTATATATTAAAACATCAAACGGCTTCATAAGCTAGCAAAGATAAAGTATTGGAAAATTAAATATCAAACACACTTGATTATTAAAACAAATATATATAATTTTAAAATTGCTATCAGTTTTCTAAACTAATTTTAAATCTTGGCTTTCGCAAACTTGATATTATCTCCCTTACTGTGATAAGGCTCTTAAGTACAGACAGAAGTTTAAAGAGTCCCTGTAAAAAGGGTCAAAAAAAGGCAAAAAGAGGTTCCCTTTCTATACTGTTTAATAGAGCTTTAATACAAGAAATAGGATTATTAAAATTTCAGAAAAAAATGAAGTATCATGGGAAAAACTGATCTCATTTTAAAAAACCAAAAGGATCCTCTGCCTTAACATTATAATGCTAGCAACCAACAAAAAGTTAATATTTACATTACTGTTCTTTGAGAAAAATTTATCTATCAAAGACTATTGTGATATAAATAATAAGAAAGCTGGAAATACTCTGATACAGTGCAAACCTACCTGTGCACATGACTCTTCAGGTGTTTTGGCACTAACTGAATAAAGTGCTGGGAGATCTAGTCTATGCACAGAGAACTTTTCTAGAGTGTGCAAAAGTGCTGGAGCAAGGTGAGAAGTTTGACCTGAGCCTCGTTCTCCAGACAGCAATAATCTTGGCCTGTAAGAGGTTGGCTGATGATATGGTGACCTGCAATACATATAATATATAATCATTATTTCAAAACCATACACTCTAAAGATCAAGATGAAATATTAGGAAAATAATTACATAAAAGAATGTAACACCAAATTAATAGAGCTTTTCTCTCACTTTTTAAGTACAGTGAATCATTTTTTCATTAATTACAGTTTTAAAATATTGATCTCTCTAACCATATTAACAACAAAGACATAAAAGTATAAAAGTCCATTCTGAAAGAAAGTCAGACTACCTGGGTATTCATCTTCTCATACCACATATATTAACTTGGAAAATGCTTCAGATACTAAGTGTGATCTAGTTATTAATTATCCAAGGTCAAATGTTAAGAATTCCACTTCTCTAATAAAGATATACATCTAAAGATTATTCCAAATGTAGGGTTTTCTTTATTAATGGTTAAAATGGTAGACTTCATACATATTTTACAATTTTTAAAATAGAAAAAAAAAAAGTAGGACTTCTTTAGTGGCAGCAATTTTGTTTTGAGGCCAATAAAAACTAACTGTTCTTAACCTAGTAGATAACATCTAAAGCCCTACACCGGAGAAGGCCAGTTTAGGATAACATATTAAATCAAAATCAACTTGTATTTTCAAGATTCTACAGCACCACTAAAAAGATAAATGAAACAAGTTTATCTAATATCACTGTACATAACGCAAGAAATTCTAAGCAATGCAACAATAATAAAGCAAATTTTAAAATGGAACTAATGGAAAGAAATAGGACAAACACTGTTACTTGTAAAGAACAGGATTGTACACTAGAAAATCCAAGAGGATCAACTAATCACTCCCATAGCCTACCAACAAAATAACAAGATTGAAGATGGAAATAGAAAAACTGAAAGATTTTCCTAAACACCATCAATAACCAATACAAAGAAGGAAAGAAGATTCTATTCACATCTGTAAAAATACAAATGATAAACAATACTAAATATACAAATCATAAACAATAATAAAAAACCTTAACAAGAGAGATGAAGAACTTTTTGGAATACACCATGGGCCTGAATACAGACATCAAATCTTTCTATGCATTTATACCTAGCTATTGTTAACTATAAGGCAAAGGCTACCCACTCCAGTATTCTGGCCTGGAGGATTCCATGGACTGTATAGAATACAGTGGACTGTATAGAATACTATACAGTGACTGTAGAGTCCATGGGGTCACAAAGAGTCAGACAGGACTGAGCGACTTTCACTTTCACTATTGTTAACCATGGTTAGTTTATGGTATTTTATTTTATAGATTTTTAAAAATGCAAATCAAAAATCCCAAAATAAAATTTGATGCAGGAGGGAGATTTAAAACTTCCTTGCAACATTATCTGAAAAAATAATCAAGTAAAAATATCAAGTGGAAAAGTGTGTGAGCTTCAATTTCAGAACATTTAAACCTATTTTAGTAACTAGCACTTCATACAGATTTCTTGTTTAATTTTCTTAACAATTCTATGAAATACATAAGTCTCCTCTTACTAAACAGTAATGAACCCAAGGCCCAGAGAAGTTCGCTATAAGATTACACAACTTGGTGTCCATACAACTGCAAGGCCCAGGTTCTAAAACAGTACATTAAGATGTGCCTTACTTTATACTGACACATATTACAGAACAGAATAACAGAATGTAGAATACACCAGAGAAAAGAAACCCTGATTAGTGGAACTTAATAGCAGCCCAGAAAACAAATCACAGTTAATTGAAAGAATTTTATATAAGATAATAAACATAAAGATAAATGGAATGAAGATGAACTATAACACAAATATTGTTTTTAAATAGGAAGGATATAGACCCTCATTTCACAGAACAAAATGAATTCTAACATAGAAACAAAAAAACAAAAGATTCATGTATTTTTAATTCTTAAAAATCTAAAAACATTTGTTATTCAAAAATTATAATCTGAACTACAATCAGATATCACCTCACACTGGTCAGAATGGCCATCATCAAAAAGTCTACAAACAATAAATGCTGGGGAGGGTGTGGAGAAAAGGGAACACTCTTGCACTGTTGGTGGGAATGTAAATTGATACAGCCACTATGGAAAACAGTATGGAGATTCCTTTAAAAACTAGGAATAAAACCACCATATGACCCAGCAGTCCCACTCCTAGGCATATACCCTGAGGAAACCAAAACTGAAAAAGACACATGTATCCCCATTGTTCACTGCAGCACTGTTTACAATAGCTAGAACACAGAAGCAACCTAGATGTTCATCGACAGATGAATGGATAAAGAAGTTGTGGTGCATATACACAATGGAATATTACTCAGTCATAAAAAGGAATGCATTTGAGTCAGTTCTGATGAAGTGGATGAACTTAGAATCTATTATACAGAGTGAAGTGAGTCAGAAAGAGAAAGATAAATATTGTATTCTAACGCATATATATGAATCTAGAAAAATGGTACTGAAGAATTTATGTACAGGGCAGCAATGGAGAAACAGACATAGAGATAGACTTAGGGACTTCAGGAGAGGGGAGGAGAGGGTGAGATATATGGAAAGAGTAACATGGAAGCTTACATTACCATATGTAAAATAGCCAACAGGAATTTGTCGTATAGCTCAGGAAACTCAAACAAGGGGCTCTGTATCAATCTAGAGGGGTGGGACAGGATGGGAGAAAGGAGGCTGATTCAAAAGTGAGGGGATATATGTGTGCCTATGGCTGACTGATGAGGTTTGACAGAAAACAACAAAATTCTGTAAAGCAATTATCCTTCAATAAAAAAATAAATTAAAAAAAATTACAATCTGAACCAAACAGCAAACAATCAAATGAGATAGTTAAATTTGCCATTAACAGGACTGATTTTAATGCATAAAGAGCTTATATGCACGTATTTTAACCAAAAATACCTTCTTATACAAAGGATGTAGACAATTCAAAAAGAAAATAGAAAGAAGTGACTTCTTAAAACGATCATTCATTTATCAATTTTTGACTGCTTCCTATGTTGAATGCTTTGGCCCAAAGTATCCACAATACACTGTTACTACAGAGTTCATGACACAGTGTATTTATTGGAAAAAGGAAATAAATTAATAAGAAACAACCTTTGAGTACATGGTGCTATTAGAGACTCACAGATAACTTTCCTGACAAAGCATTATGAGAACACAAAAATCCAACAGATCAAAGGCAGAAAGCATGAATTTCAAGAAATACAAACAGGATGTACAAAGGACCAGAGGCCAAAAAAATCTCTTGGCCCTTTGGGGTAGTAGATATAGTTCATTACAGCTAGCTTCTTTCAAGATTTTTAGGACAATGTAGGAGTAAAGATATTGGGGTAAGGGAGGGGAATTGGGAAAGAGAATCAGACTGCAAAGGGCTATGATGGGTTCTCTAAGCCATGTTAAAAGCCATATCCTCACTGAAGACAATGAGGAAACATTAAGATGCTTGAGTAGGGCTTTCCTGGTGGGTCAATAGTAAAGAATCTGCCTGCCAACGCAGGAGACACGTGTTCGATCTCTGATCCTGGAAGATCCCACATGCCATGGAGCAACTAAGCCCCTGGGCCACAACTGTTGAGCCTGTGCTCTAGAGCCCAGGAGCTGCAACTGCTAAGCCCATGTGCTGCAACTACTGAAGCCTGTGCGCCAAGAGCCCATGCTCTGCAACAAAAAGTCTGCGCACTGCATCTAGAGAATAGCCCCCACGCAGTGCAACAGAGAAAAAGCCTGCACAGCAATGAAGACCTAACACAGCCAAAAATAAGTAAATACATAAAATTATTTTTTTTTTAAAAGATGCTCAAGCAGGGGAAGTGATGTAAGCATACACATGTTTTTGGATAGTAACTCTAACTCAGCATAGAGTTTTTGAAAGAAGGTAAACCATAGGAAAGATGACCAGTTAGAGGTATGCTATATAATAACGCAAGCATGAGATGTTAATAACAGTGTAGACAAGGACAGTAGCAGAGGAGGTAGAAGGAAGAGCTTGAGATTAGACTTATTTAGTGAGAAAAATCTATAGGATTGTGTCACTTACTGGATATAGAAGGGAAGAAAGAGAAAGAGTTGAGAATGGTGTCCAATTTCAGTCAGGACAACTGAATGGATAGTAGCTCAGAGGACTGATGGGAAGAGGAGAGACACAAGCAAGCACACACTGAAAGATCTGTGACACAGCGTAGGGTGACAGGCAGCCGGACAAAGCTTAAAGCTCAAGAGTGATGGAGGCTTGAGAAAGATTTGGCAGTTATTATCAAAGTTGAAAAATAATGAAAATATTCAGAAACATCATTTATCTATTAGATTGGCAAACTGAAGATTATAATACTCTTACTAGTAAGTAGATGGTGGGAAAATTGGTATTCTCATGAATAGTGAGAATGGAAAAAAGCACAACTTTCTGAAATTAAATATGGCAAATATATACCAAAATGTAATATAGCCAAGGATATTCTATAATGCATCCTACTCTCAAAGATTCCCTTATCTCTGAGTGCTCTCTACATTTTTCCCCACAGTAGTTATCTTCTAACATTTTATCTAGCACGCTGACTGTTTTACTGTCTGACTCCATCTAAAATGCAAGCTGAATAAGGGCAGGCATCTTAACATGGATCCAATTACCTAGAGCAACATCTGGCACACAATAAGCACCTTGACAAAAGATCTGCATGAGTGAAAGACTATATGAAAGAACAAATGATTCATATAAATAAAAAGGTATTATTTTCATCTATCTAGTTGGTAAAGATTTTAAAAGACAAACAGCACTCAGAAATGAAAAGGGAATAGAAACATAACCCTTTCATACATTAGTGCTAAAATATAAATTGGTACAACCTTTCTGGAAGGTAATTTAACAACTTCTATCAGGTTTTTAAACATATACACACTTTGACCACAGCATCAGTTTTTAAAATCTTCCCTAAGGTCTGCATCAGAAAATGGTATAAAGATTTATACTTAGAAAGATGTCTATCATAAATAAACACTGTTTATAAAATAGGAAAAGTGGAAACTTCCATTTCTATCAATAAGGTTATTATAAACTGTGAAACATTTAAAAAATACCATGCAGTTACTATTTTAAAATAATGACATTAGACATATATTGACATGAAATAAAATTTCTAACTTAATAAGGGAAGAAAGGCAAGTTACATTAACAGCCTTATGAAGACTATAAATTATATAAAATAATATATGGGTCTGTCTATATGGAGAGCAAGAATACCAAGTGTGGTCACCAAAATGTTAACAAATATTACCTTCAGGTGCTTGGGCTTTAATTTTACTTTCTTCTTTAAGCTCTTCTTTTTTACTTGAATTCTCTACAGAGTATATCATCTTTCTAATCAGAAAAAACAAAGCTATTTTCATTTGGAAAACCTCAGAAAGTTCTGTTTCTAATCCCTTTATGGTAATATACAGTAAGAAAGAAAACTTATTTTCCATCATAAGAGTTCTTTATCAGATCGACAGACCTTAAATACTTTGACTTCTATTTCTTCGTAAATCTAAAGAAAAGATTTCAACAGTTTTAGGAAACTATTCCAGAAACAGAAACGCACCATCAATGCCTGAGCTAGTGTTACTGACACCAGCATTCAAGTCATGCTTTCTACTTGTCCAGCATCTTTTCTGTATTAATCTGACATGCTAACACATGTTGCTCAAACAAAAAAGCCAAACCAAACCAAATCAACAAAAACAAAATATGTGTGCAACCCTTATTAAAGGCTTATATTCTAAGGTAAATATTTCTTGGAAAGTGAAAAATCATATCATCCAAGCTACCCATAAAAACCTACTAAGCTTAGAAATCAATTTGGAAACCACACAGTACAACAGAAGGAATATGGTCCCAGGAAACAAAACAGTGCCAAGTATGCCCCCTGCTAGCAGCATGATCATGGGCAATTTACTTAACTTCTTTGTACTTCAGTTTCCTCATTTATAAAATGATGATACCACAAATGCTAAATGACTGTTGAGAGGCCTATATGTATTACCATGTATGAAGCCCTGCTTTATACACCTACCACATGTCTAGTTTGTAATAAACAACAAATGCTAACTCCTATACTCAAAAGGACAGCAACTGTCACCATTTTTTCTGTAAAGCATTTCTGGACTTCCCTATGCAAGCCTGTTAGTTCTGTTTTCAAAACACCAGCCATATCCTAATGCTTGTCATTCGCAAGAACAAGAACTTTTCCAGAATAAGAACTATATCTTATTCATGTTTCCAGCATCTAGTACAGTGCCTGGCACAGGGTTTAAAAAAAAATGGCAGAATGAGTAAATAAACAAACTAATTTTATCAAAACATCTCTTTAAAAAGTTCATCCTAGGATACAGCTGTCTCACTATTAAATCAAAGTCAAATCAATGAATTAGAAAAGCTTATGCAAAAGAGCAATTTCTTCAGAAAGGCTAAGTCAAACAAAATAAACCATGGCACTGATATACATTAAGTCAGTGACAGAATGTTTTTAATATAAAATTGAAAAACTTGTCTTTTGACAGTTGCTTGGCTTCTACTATGTATTTCAAATTCAAACAACTAAAACTGTTAAAACAAATAGCACACACACAGCTAACCAGGTGAAAGTCAGAAAAAAATGATCATTTTGTTTTCCCTTAATAAACAGATTTGTAAAATTACTAAAATAGTGTCAGAAAACTTCCCAGAAGGCATAAAAGAAAGGCTCTGCCAGTAGAAGACAAAAGTTACTAACAGGATAGTTTGCTGTTAAAGAGTAAATTAAAGTGATTTAGTCTCATTTTAAAAACTGAAAAACAAGGAAGGGTTATCAATGCAAATAATCAAATTAACATTTCACCAAAATCTATGAGAGAAACTTCATTAATGTTGAAGACTTAAATTCATTCAAAATCTCTCTAAAGAAACATTACTTTAAAAAATACACACAATGTCTTCTAATAAAAGTCCTATAAAAAAAACCCTATTAGACCTACCTGACTGGAGCACTATGGTGCTTCAACTATCCTGATAATTATGTAAATGCAAGTTGATGATGCTGTTACTATTTGAAAACTATTTAACGTCTTACTTCAAAATTACATTAGCACTAAAACTGTTTACCTATTGAAGTGTATAGCAAAAGCTGCTTTACTATAAATAAAGGTAAATAGAAAAAACATAAAATCTAAATTAGAAAGTGTAAACTAATGAGGTTGTGGACAATCAGAAAGTTATTGATTTAATTACTAAGCAATTTCTAACTCAAAATCTCTTAGTACCCTTAGAGTCCTAAATTATCATGTGAAACTTATTACAATCAAAATACTCTAGATCACAGTAAATATTTCATTTCTGTTCAGTTGAAATAAAAAGCAAGAATACTGGGGACATGGATTGACTTTCTAAAGGTAACCCTGCCTTCTATCCTACTTAAAAAAAAAAGGAATCCCACAATCAGTTTAAGGAAAAATATCTTTAGTTGACCAATAAGCCAAATTACTACCATACAAAAACAAAAGCACAATATAAGTTTTCCAGAACTATGTCCAAACAACAGGAAAAAAAAGTCCTCAAGGTTATAACCGTAAGTAAAACTATACTGCAACTCTAACCATAAAGTAGTAAAAATCGGTCTAAGTTGAGAACTTTGCTATAAATCACTTACCTTGTAAAATGAAGGTAAGGTTTATGTACAGCAGCAGCCGATGACGGTTTCTTTGGTGATCCTGAGTGACAACTTGTCTCGAAAATTGATAAAGCATTCTCATCTTCACTGTCATCTAAAATCAAAGTTTCTATATCTGTTTTAAAAAGAACACAAAGATTATGAGGCTTAAGAAGTCATTTAATACTACTGACCTACCAAAGCTAAGGAAAACTGATTAAAAAAACAAGTGGCAGTAACAAGTTATCTATCAAATAACACAAACTGACCAGGAAAATGACAAACTACAGTATTCTGAGTAAGTTATAAATGGAACCAATGTAATTCTTTCACCTGTACAGACTACTGAAGTATTATGAGATACATTTTTGGAGAATAACTACAAGAAGTTTGGAAAAGAAATGGCACTCTCATAAAGTTCTCACCTACTTACTAAGAATCTCTAAGCTAATTTTCACCAAAACCAGTGCATTTAATATAAAATGGTTTAATTAATAGAGTAATTGAAGTATGGCCCAGTTCTTACAAAAGCAACAAGGAATAAATTGACCTTTATTTTTTTCACATGGCATACACGCACACACTTCAAGGAAAATCTAGTCTAGTTAAGAAGGGACTCAGGAATTTAGTGGGAAAAAAGCCAATCTTAGAAAACACACTCATTCAAGTAACATCAGTCTCTTTATGGGTCTTAAGTTACTGCTCAAAGAACAACTGGAACTATAATTCCTATTGAGAGTGCCATACTTAAAAATTTACCTAGACTGCAACCTAAAGTATTATAGCTGTAATTCACACATACTTAACAAAAGTGTCAATTCATTCAATAAAAAGCAATGCTACATGTATAGGAGAAATGTGAGGAAATTAAAATCGACAGAAATCATACCCTTCCCCAAAGAAAACAAGGAAAAAAAGAGGTATGCTTTCTAAAATGAGGTCTTGAATTGTGCTGGCAGATAGAGCACAATTCAGTGGCTTTAAGAAGTCAAATATTTAACATGACTAATATTATAAAAAGTAATCAAATAATTAAGTACCATTTGATTTACAAGGACACTTGCTAAGAAAAATATTAAAGACCAAAATAATCCAGAATAATATATCTAAATAACTAAAAAATATTATTAATAATCAAAGTGATTTCTTCCTTCCACTGGCATATAAAGAAAAAATTGGATCTAAAGCATACTTAATACTTATGGGGAAAAAAATGGTAAGAAAACATAGCTAATAATGTCATAAAAAAATTCTCAAATGGAAATAAAGAAGTTATAATCTCTCAGAAGAGGAGGTAGATTTTTATGATTTTCTAAAGGTAACATAGTTTAATTTTAAAAAATTAGGGAAAACATACAGATTCTCAGTTATGAAAATCAGAGACAAGAAATGTACAGTTCATGGCAGAGTAGCTGGCTCATATATAATATCTATTCTCATTTGACAAATTTAAGAAATCAAGTAATCAATGTGATATTTCATGAGAATCTACCTTAAAAAGTTTCTGAAAAATATATTAATAACAGCAAAATTCACTGACTACTGATGATTTTTACTCTATATAACAGTTATAACATTAACATAATTCACTAACAATTTTCTATACAGTGAAAACTACATGCTAAACAAATTAAGACAATTTTTAAAAATTACTGTCTCTTCAAAGTTCATGGGCTTTACTTTGATTAGCATACAAACTTAAAGTTTTCCTATAAATAAGTAACATTTTTTAAAGTAGCTTTCTATTTTTTTCTCAAATTCAAACTACAATCATGAGGACAGAATTCAAGACCATCTATAATCAGGTTCTAATTTACCCCCTTACTAATAAACTACACTCCATTAGCACAGCACACTATGGAGTGCTGTGCCAATAATAGCAATATGATGAGCTGAATCCAGAGGGACATTATAACAACATGGTTAAGCGCACTGCCTTTGGAGTTGGGCTCCCTGGGTTTGAGCAAGACCTAGAACTTACTGAGTGACCTTATATAAGCGAATATCTTCATTTTTGATAGAGTAAGAGTACCTACCCCACAGGATTGTTATGAGGATTAATAAATGACAATTTATGTAAGCACTTTATAATAATAAGAGAAATGTAAACCAATACTATTACAGTCAACTTTCCTAAAGATGGTAACACTCCTATATTAAGATAGTCAGATAGTCCCAAGAGTAAACAAACAGAACAAATATTCAGAACAAATATCCATTCATTATTCTTATAGACACTGAGTAAGCAACTACTGTATGCCAGGCATATGCTAGGTCTAGAATACAGTGGCAAATGAAATAGATACATCTCCTATATTCATGGCAAATATAAAAGAGTAACACACAAATACTATTATAAGGATATTCAATTTATTTACTTATGCCCATACTTATTTCATTTAAACAGTATGAAAAGAGAATTTATACTACCTTCTTTCTTGTCACTCTGGCTAATCTCAGCATGAGGAAACACTTTTTGCAGGACAGCTAGGATGTTGTTGAAGCTTCTTTCCAGCAGTGGTTTTATGATGGGAGACAGTGCATGTCCCGAAGACATGACAGCACGCTGGGAAGCAGGCACAATATTCTGCATTGCATGGTAAAAATCTTGGGCATTGAGCACGATTGAGGAAACATCTAGCTGCAGTTTATGACTGCTAGCATAGATCTGAGGATAACGCCTCCGCAGGGCAATCAGGGCAGCTTCAGTGCACAGGGCCTTAATATCAGCTCCGCAATAGCCTAATGCACAAAAGGGAAAAGGATAACAAAGGTAAGTCCATTTTTCCAAGTACCAATTATATTTTGCAAATATGTACATCTTTATCCAAAAAAACTAATATTAAATCAATTATTATGGGCAATTTTACTAGCAAAATGAAAAATGACCCTTTAAAAACATCTAATAAAACCATTTATCCATTAACTAAAAATGCTTTGAATATTAACAAATACATAAACTAATGATATTAAAAGAAGTCATATATTTTTGTGCCAAGACCACTGGTTATAATGTACATCTTTCTTCAAGAAAGGTTTAAGAAAAATAACATCATATCAATCCTTCATCAATATTCCTAATCATCAGTTTAGTCCTTAAGGCATTAGTTTTCCATAAATTTTTCTAATATTACTAATTTCAAACACCTATAATGAAGCGGTACAAAGTAGTATACATAAGCAGAAACTTCAAAATCAGAGCTATTCTACTACCAACTCTGAGTACAAGGTAGAAGCAGGTTAATATCTAAGTATCCCCAAAACTAAATAAAGTTGTAAGCATCTCTGATAATTCCAAAGGTACTAAAAGGAATGAGAATTCTTCCATTTTTCACATTAATTTCCTTTTTATATATATTTTTAGCTTAAAGTGATTGATAATCTAGTTCAAAGGGCTATAGAAACATGAGGCATCATCCATTACCCATATTTAAGTGATCATCAAGTAAAATAACTGATCAAGCTGCCAGTGAAGTCAGTCATTTCATTCATTTGAGCAACAAATACATAGAAAAATATATGAACTGTTAGGTCTTTAACACAAAACAAAGAAGAAAACTCAAACTAGTCGTGGTTGGTTTTTTACATTACCGATTAAACCTACATTTGGCCACCTTTGTCAGTTACGCCAGCAGGGGGAACCACTCAAACTAGTTACAGAACATTAGTCCCTAAACTCTTCCGGGGTGTTATCATATTTATTTCATTTTATATCTTACAATGACCTTGTAGAACACTTAAGTACTGAAATTAAAATGGTGATTAGACAGGAAAAATATAAGCAGAGAAGAAACAGTCCCAGATTAACTGGCAGAAAAAGAACATTAAGGAACAAAACCATATAAATCAAATTGACTCACACTTCTATAATAAACTATATCCCTATTATCACTAAATATCACCTTAACCAAGTCCTACACGCAACAGAAAACTCCTTACCCTGCTCTCCTTTTTCCAGAGCACTTATCACCTTATCCTTTACTTAATATTTTTATTATCTGCCTTCCCCAACTAGAAAATGACCTCTAGGATTATTTGTCTTGTTCACTAAGTGTTTATCTATCTCAAATACCAAGAACAATGTCTGGCCTGGCTTTCAATAGATATCCAATAATTTCCTGCGTGAAAGAATGAATGAAAAGAGAAAAAAGTTAACAGCAAGGTTATAGTCTGGAAACATAAAACTGTTAAGTTACCATGTATAACAGGAAAGGGGGAACAATGAATCCTATCTACTAGGCTTTTATTTTTTATTCCCAAGAAATTTAAGTTCTTTTACTATTAAACCAACTTACTGGGACTAAAAATTTCAACTAAAATTATTAAGAATTGTATTCTTAAAAGGAACATTTATTAAGAGGTAGGGGAAAACTTACTATGTCCTATGAGAATTTAATTCAGAAAAGGATAAGCAGATGAAGCTTGAACACTGTCCCATGCCAGCAATCAATTTCCCAAAAATTCCTCAGAAAAAAACAAGTTTACCATTCAGTTCAGTTTAGTTCAGTCACTCATTAGTGTCGTTGCAGCCCCATGGACTCCAGCACACCAGGCTTCCCTGTCCTTCACCAACTCCTGGAGCTTGCTCAAACTCATATCCATCGAGTCGGTGATGCCTTCCAACCATCTCATCCCCCATTGTCCCCTTCTCCTCCTGCCTTCAATCTTTCCCAGTATCACGGTCTTTTCCAATGAGTCAGTTCTTCATATCAGGTGGCCAAAGTATTGGAGTTTCAGCTTCAGCATCAGTCCTTCCAGTGAATATTCAATTCCTTTAGGATTGATTGGTTTGATCTCCTAGCAGTCCAAGGGACTCTCAAGAGTCTTCTCCAGCATCCCAGTTCAAAAGCATCAATTCTTTGGCACTCAGCTTTCTTTATGGTCCAACTCTCATATCCATACATGATTAGTGGATAAACCATAGCTTTGACTATATGAACCTTTGTAAGCAAAGTAATATCTCTTTTTAATATGCTGGCTAGGTTGGTCATAGCTCTTCTTTCAAGGAGCAAGCGTCTTTTAATTTAATGGCTGCAGTCACCATCTGCAGTGATTTTGGAGCCCAAGAAAATAAACTCTGTCACGGTTTCCATTGTTTCCCCGTCTATTTGCCATGAAGTGACAGAACCAGAAGCCATGATCTTTGTTTTCTGAATGTTGAGCTTTAAGCCAGTTTTTTCACTCTCCTCTTTCACTTTCACCAAGAGGCTCTTTAGTTCCTCTTCACTTTCTGCCATAAGGGTGGTATCATCTGTATATCTGAGATTATTGATATTTCTCCCAGCAATCTTGATTCCAGCTTGTGCTTCACAAAGCCCGGTATTTCACATGAGGTACTCTGCATAGAAGTTAAATAAGCAGGGTGACAATATATTAGCCTTGACATACTCCTTTTCCAATTTGGAACTAGTCCATTGTTCCATGTCCAGTTCTAACTGCTGCCTCTTGACCTGCATACAGGTTTCTCAGGAGGCAGGTAAGGTGGTCTATTCCCATCTCTTGAAGAATTTTCCACACTTTGTTGTGATCCAAACAGTCAAAGACTTTAGTGTAGTCAATGAAGCAGAAATGGATGTTTTTCTGGAATTCTCTTGCTTTTTCTATGATCCAACGGATGTTGGCAATTTGATCTCTGGTTCCTCTGCCTTTTCTAAATCCAGCCTGAACATCTGGAAGTTCTCAGTTCATGTACTGTTGAAGCCTCACTTGGAGAATTTTGAGCATTACTTTACTAGCCTGTGAGATGAGTGCAATTGTGCAGTAGCTTGAGCATTCTTTGGCATTGCCTTTCTTTGAGATTAAAATGAAAACTGACCTTTTCGGGTCCTGTGGCCACTGCTGAGTTTTCCAAATTTGCTGGCATATTGAGTGCAGCACTTTCACAGCATCATCTTTTAGGATTTGAAATAGCTCAGCTGGAATTCCACAACCTCCACTAGCTTTGTTCATAGTGATGCTTCCTAAGGCCCACTTGACTTCACACTCCAGGATGTCTGACTGTAGGTGAGTGATCACACCATCACTCTCCATTTTATTTTCTACTTCTTAAGGAATGAATCACCCCCCCCCCAAAAAACCTATCTTTTCCTATTCCATACATATCTGTAACATTAGTTCAACAAAATGACTGTAGAACACTAGCTCAGACATAAAGTTAATCAAACAATCCATTTCAGAGGAAGTAAAGAATAAACTACCACCTTCAAAAAATATAAACCACACTCCTTTTACTTCTTTAAAAGTATATACAGTTACTGAACATCCTATATGACCCAATTTTAAGTGCAAAAAGTCTAAGTTAAAAAAGACCAAAAAAAATGCTCAAAATCAATGCAGAACAGAACAAAGTCACTAAAAGTTATTTTATACAGTAAATGTTGCCCATAACATTTGTGTTTGATATAATATGTTAATAATACAATTAGCAATCCACTGTTCATTTTTTCTTAACTTATTAAAGATAACTTTAGAGTTTATCAACTGTAATAGATTCCATTTAAAGAAGTAAATTTCCTTCCCTAAATTATATGGATGTTTTTATATTGACACATTTTATTAACAATATCAAAAATCACATTTGTTAATATTACCACAATCTCATCACTACAGTCTTTTAAGTGTTAGCAAGCTGTCAGCTCACAGTGACAAATATGTCATACAGCACCCTTTGAGAACTGCCATGTAGTTTATAATCCATTTTGTTAAAAAAAAAATTCTAATTTTTTCCTTGAAAGTTTGAATTTCATCATTAGTAATAAAGTTTTACTTGAAAAAAATTAATTTTCACATGGATTATCATAACCAACAGAATAAATTACAGGATTTATCTTTGTTACATTTGTTCATGAATGAGAATTACTAGTTTATATCTGTGGTTGTCAACCTTGACTAGTCTGAATAAACAAAGAAAATGAATTAACAATAGGTTACCAACAAACTTAGTGAATCAGAATCACTAAGTGGTGGTTTAATATCATAAATACGTATTTTGAGAAAACTACCAGTCATTCTGATAAACAAAAAAAATGAGAACTACTGAGTTAATAATGTACTTTCCTTTTGTTTAGTCACTAAGTCATGTCTGACTCTTTTGTGACCGCACTGGGACCCCATGCGACCCCAATACTTTATACACTTTCCTTACCAGACTCTAAAACAGGATTAAAGGTATATCATAACTAGGCTAAATAGCTTATACTAAGTGTGATCACATGTCCCGGTTTAGGTCACTTGCCTAAACAGCATATTTTTTCACTCTCAAAGGGTCCTGGTTTAGAAAATAGGTGATATGACTATTCTAGAAATACTGAAATATAGCCTCTTTTGAGAGTTAAAAGTTGATATTAGAGAAAATATCAAAATCCCTTCCATAAGAATTCCATAACTATACTAGTTCTACCATTACAATTCTAATAGTCTGATAAATACACATATCTAGACACCAAAAAAAAAAAAAAGGCATTTTGAGTACTGTTAAGATGGAGATTTGTCTGAAAGACTGAAAGTATAAACTATTCAAAGAGGCTATAAACTAGGAAAGGCAATAAAATTTTATGAAGCTACTTTTTAAGTAAAATACCAAACAGTGAAGGTCCACAAGCTAAGATGCCTCATTGACAGAGACCCTTTCATTGCTTAAACCTTAGTGAAAATGAATAGACAAATATGATTAGATAGAAGATCTTCATTAACTTTAAGCTCCTACTATTTATGCACATGTTCTGGATACCGAAATTACTTGAAGACTACTAAAAATCACACCTATGAAGCATGCAAACCTCCAAGTACTTGGGAATTCATTTCAAGATAAAAGTTACCAAATCCATAACCTCTAACAAAAGGTCAACCATGTTTTCAGTTCTTCATCAACAACCTGCTTACTCTTTGGTCAGGCATAAATTTCACTCTACTGAACCCATACATGTTAAAACATCTTTGGGATACATAAGTGGTAACTTCATAATGAATTTAAAGTGTATTGCTATTTCATTCCTGTTTGAAGACTTGCATTTGATTTTTTTTAATGTGAATTGGTTTCTTAAATGAAATAAATGTCACAAACAAAATCAGAAGTCAGTTAATTATAATTAAATTAATTATAATTTTTATGTCACTCTCCAGGAAGAAAATAGTATATATATAAGCAGATTCTAAACCAGCAATGCCACCCCAAAAAAAGGCAAGAGAAATTTTTCAGTCCTATAACAAAGTATGTCTTAAAATTTTTTTAACTTAAGAAACTGACTAAAAGCTAAAAGAAATAACCTGATAAAATAAGAAGTAGTGGCCTTTGGAAATGAAAAAGAAAACTGAGACTCTAATATTTAGGATGACAAATTAGAGTATATAATATTTCAGATGGTAGATAGGGTAATAAAAAGTAATTTTTAGATTACTCAGGGAATTTCCAAGATTATCTGTAGACTTCTGCTTATTTCAATTAAGGATCATTCTGTGACAAATTCACAGACCAATCAACAAAGACTTTCCATTCTGATCTGTACTCTAACACAATATCATAAAAGTAGCAGGAAATAAAAGGGGTCAAATTTTCAAAAAGGGCAAAGACTGGGTTTTGTACCAAATACCACCCTCTCCCATAAAGCAGCACAAGGCTTTGCAAAGGTCAAGCCAAATTTACATGAAATGGGTTTGGCGCATGCTCTCTTATACCAGGCAAAGCTTAAACTGGAGTAGTGCTGGAGAGATTTACGTTTTCTCCTCACCAGAAGATGTCGAGGTCTTTGTGGTTCAAAAGTTGAGGTATGCTGCTTCGGAGATGGAGGTCCCTGTGGATGAAGAGGATAATTCGGATGTAGCTAACTGAATGGACTAATGTTCTATTTAAGTTTTAATTATTTGATGGTGGACCACAATGATTTTTTAACTAAGTTGTTCTTTTTGGTTTTGGTAACTTTAAACTTTTCCCAAGTAGACTGCTGATTGTTAGTGGACTTATTAGGGGAACTTCTTCATAATGCTTAAAAAGTTCATGGAGAGATTTTTTAATCTATATTTTTGGGAGAATGAGAGAAAAATAGACAAAAGACAGAAAAAGAATGAAAGGAAAATACCTGCGTGTAATATTCAGCTGCTTAATACCATATTCATTTTTATTTCGGACCTAATTAGTGCCAAACTCCTGAATTCTAAAACCTCTGAATTCCATCTCCTATGTATGCACATAAAATACTCTCACCATATCCTTTTAGGGCAATAGTGTTCATTCACTCTGTAGGAGATCTTCTACTCTGTGAATAATTTAACATTAACTTGGAGAGTTTAACATTTAGGGAAATATAGCAGATGTCATTAAGTGTTTTCTTTGAAGACTCCTCTCACTCAACTTCTTTCTACACCACCAGAATGAAGATGAGTCCATCATGTAATCTGTGAAGTAAAAGACTATAGTCCTGCCCTATACATGGATCTTTACCTCTTGTTTAAACTTATTTTTCTTAGTAAAATTTCTGAAAGGGAACAGTTCCTAAAAGGAGACACTGTAATAAGATTGGAAATCCAGCACTCAATGAAAGGCATTATTACTACGGAGTTCTGTTAATCGAAACACCTAATGGCACCTAAAATTTTAATTTAGAAGTGTTCAAACCTCAAGTGAAATGTTTAAAATAATTTTTTACATTTGAAGGCAAAGCCATCTATTGCACAAAAATATAATTATACTCATTCACATTCCAAATATAAGGGGAAAAGGAGACTGAGCAGAACAAACAATGACAATCAAAAATTCAAATAGTAGCACTCACCAACACATTTTTCAGCCAATTCACCTAAAAAAGCATCCGACAATTTTGGATTCCAGTCCCTGGTATGGATCTGTAAAATGTGTTTTCTTGCCTAAGAAGAAAAGCACAGATAAATAAAATCTTGCCTAAGGAAAAAAATACAAATAAAATATCATCAACCCCAAAATGTATCAGATGGAACAAATTCATCAACTAACCATACCCAGAAAAGCAATTGTTTATTTTAAAAGAAGCATAAACAGCTTGGCAGCCGTGTTAACTCTGATTCCCATAATAACCCTGTGAGCTATGTAGTAGAGATCCTTGTTTCACAAACTAGGACATGTAATAGTCTGAGAAGTAAAGGAACTTGATCTAGGACTAGAACTCAAAACTAAATTACACTTTCCTCCACATCATTTTTACCATCTGAAAATGTATCAGCAAAAAACTTCAATGCATTATAATAAGCATAACTTCTAACAAACTGTATATTTAGATTTTTCAGGTCCTTTTAGTTCTAATATGCATAAAGTGTCATTACATTTTGAAGTTGAAGTTTTTGATTAAGTAAAGAAATATAATACACACTGTCATATAAGTTCATGAATGCTTTCACACTTAATACATAACAAGGTAATCTCCATAAATAGTAATTGAATTCACTGAAAAAAACAAAGGTTTAAACAATTTTACCTTGATTTTTTTCTTTCAAATAGCATTCTCTACCTTAAATCTAACTGTATAACACAATCAAAATTTTAACATCTTGGTTCCAAATTAAATTTCTTTTTCTCCCACAGTAAAAAAAGAAACACTGAACTATAAAAATCCATAATCAGCTGAAAAGTCACATCAGAATGTTTTTTCACATTTGCCTTCTTTCAGGGGAAAAACAACACTTTCTAAAATTTAATGTCCTTATTGCCTCAACACTGCTACTTGAGTTTCTTAAGACTATGAAAAAGCAAATTATAGGGTGGAGAGGGAGGTGGGAGGGGGGACTGGGATGGGGAATACATGTAAATCCATGGCTAATTCATGTCAATGTATGACAAAAACCACTACAATATTGTAAAGTAATTAGCCTCCAACTAATAAAAATAAATGAAAAAAAAGCAAATTATAACCAAGATAAAATTATTATTGGCTTGGTGAGGAATCTGGGATCTAGCTCCAAGACAAAAAGAACTTGGAAGTTATCAGGATAAATTTTGCTCAAAAGTTGACAAAATCTGGAATCAGTAGCTATTGCTTCAATTCCAAGGTCTAAGCTGGGCATTCAACTACCAAAAGTAAACCAATGATATAACAAATATTTTCTTTCATATATATATACGACTTGACGTATGTGAGTTTGAGCAGGCTCCAGGAGATGGTGAAGAACAGGGAAGCCTGGTGTGTATACATACACACACACACTTCATAATCAAATAAGAAATAAATCTTAGTATATTGAAAACAGAAACTGTTACCTTTTGATCCGGAAGGTTGAAAAGAAATTCTCTGTCAAAACGACCAGGTCTCCTAAGAGCAGGATCTATAGAATCAAGTCTATTTGTAGCACCAATAACAACAATTTCACCCCTATTGTCTAATCCATCCATAAGAGCAAGGAGGGTTGACACTATAGAGCTGTAAGAAAATTTTAAAGAGGAAAGAAAGAAAAAAGTTGCAAAAACTGTTGCTTATACTAACTTTTATCAGTCTTAAAGATTTTTATATCCATGTTCAAAAGTGAAATTAAGTTCCAATTAACTTTCTCATATTGTTCTAAACAGGTTTAAGTCTTCTGAAGATATGACATTGGATATGTTTAAAGAGCACAAATTGCTGAATTTTGAAGTATGTGAAACTATCACCATTAAGGAAAAAAGTAATACTGATTATGCTCTTCTTTGCACCCTTTGTAATCCATCCCCACTGCTCCTCCCTGACCTCTATCCAATCCCTTGCAAAGTACTGATCCAAGTTCTGTCACTATACATTAGCTTGCATTACCTAAAATTTTATATAGATAGAATCACAAGGTAAATACTTTTTTTCTACTGGATTCTTTCCCTCAGCATGATTATTTGAAATTTATCACATTGTTGGGGTATTTTTGTTGTTGTTCAGTTGCTCAATCTTGTCTGACTCTTCGCGACCCCATGGACTGCAGCACACCAGGCTTCCCTGTTCTTCACCATCTCCCGGAGCTTGCTCAAACTCACATACATCAAGTCAGTGGTGTCATCCAACCATCTCATTCTGTTGTCCCTTTCTCCTCCTGCCTTCAATCTTTCCCAGCATCAGGGTCTTTTCTAATGAGTCAGCTCTTCACATCAGGGGGCCAAAGTATTGGAGTTTCAGCTTCAGACATCAGTCCTTCCAATGAATGAATATTCAGGATTGATTTCCTTTAGGATTGACTGGTTTGATCTCCTTGCAGTCCAAGGGACTCTCCAGAGTCTTCTTCAACACCACAGCCCAAAGGCATCAATTTTTCAGCAGTCAGCCTTTTTTATTGTCCAGATCTCACATCCACACATGACTACTGGAAAAACCATAGCTTTGACTATACAGAACTTTGTAGGCAGAGTAATGTCTCTGCTTTTTAATATGCTGTCTAGGTTGGTCATAGCTTTTCTTCCAAGGAGCAAGCATTTTTTAATTTCATTGCTGCAGTCACCATCTGCAGTGATTTTGGAGCCCAAGAAAATAAAATCTGTCACTGTTTCCATTGTTTCCCCATCTATTTGCCATGAAGTGATTGGACCAGATGCCAAGATCTTTGTTTTCTGAATGTTGAATTTTAAGTCAATTTTTTCACTCTCCTCTTTCACCTTCATCAAGAGGCTGTTTAATTTCTCTTCGCTTTCTGCCATAAGGTTTCTGTCCTCTGCATATTTGAGGTTATTGATATTTTTCCCAGCAATCTTTACTCCACTTTCTGCTTCATCCAGCTTGGCATTTCACATGATGTACTCTGCATAGAGGTTAAATTAGCAGGGTGACAATATACAGCCTTGATGTACTCCTTTCCCAATTTAGAACCAGTCCATTGTTCCATATCCAGTTCTAATTGTTGCTTCTTGACCTGCATACAGGTTTCTCAGGAGGCAGGTAAGGTGGTCTTCCCATCTCTTGAAGAATTTTCCACAGTTTGTTGTGACCCATACACTCAGGCTTTGGCATAGTCAATAAAGCAGAAAAAAAAAAGAGAGAGAGAAAAAAAAAAAATAAAGCAGAAGTAGATGCTTTTCTGGAATTCTCTTGCTTTTTCCATGATCCAGTGGGTGCTGGCAATTTGATCTCTGGTTCCTCTGCCTTTTCTAAATCCAGCTTGAACATCTGGAAGTTCTTGGTTCACATACTATTGACCCTTAGGTTCAAGGATTTTGAGCATTACTTTGCTAACATGTGAGACAGTTTAACAAGAGTTTATTCCTTTTCATTGCTAAAACAATATTTCATTTTATGATATATCCCAAATTGTTGATATACATGTTGATGGACATTTAGACTGTTTCCAATTTTTGGCTATTACCCAAAAATATTATGAACATTCACATACAGGTTATGAAAATTTTCCCACAGTTTTTTGCTAAAAGTTTTATACTTATACCTCTTGAGTTTAAGCCTTAATCCTCTTCTTAATCTTTAATGTTTACAAAATCTAAAACAACGTATTTTCTTTTCCTAAATACTGCTTTATCAATGTCTTTTTTATCATGGCCAATTGAGCCAGAGGTTGGTTTCAATTTTATTTTTTTCAAAGAAGCAACTTTTTAATTTCTTGATTTCTGTATATCTTTGTTTGCAGTTCATATACTGTTATAATTTTTATTTCACTAATACCATAGATTATTTAGACTTAGAGCAATAACTGTTGATAACAGACAAAATTTTCTGCTTGTCTGTTATCTCTTACATTTTGTATATTATTAAACTTTGGAAATTAGTTGTGATTTAAGGCATAATATATGATAAGTTTTTATAAATGATGTTTAAAACTAGTGTTCATTCTATATTGCCTTAGATAAGTATGCACACAAGGTCAGATTCATATAACACAGTTGCTCAAATAATCTACAGAGAATTTATTTTATGCTCCTTCGTTCTATTAATTACCAAGAGGTACATGATCTCTTTCATAATGATGATCAGTTTGACTCTTACTTTGCAGTTCTGTCAATTTTTGTTTTATATAGTTTGAAATATAGTAATTAGGGAATTACAGATTTTAAACCATTACATCTTTTAATAAGTTGAAGCTTTTATCATTATAAGGGGATCGTCTTTATACTTATAATAATGCTTTCTGTCTTACACACAATTTTGTCTAATACAGCAATAGTAGCTTTCTGTTAGCATTTACTTGATAAATTTTGTACCATTTATGAATTGATTATTTCAGACATTTTATATAAAAGAAGGTTCCAAATGGTGGGGAAAAGGCAAGCAAAAGCTTAGTCACAAATATTCACAGCGACAAGAGAAACAAAAAAATACTTTAAGAAATAAAATATTATAAAAACATTACAGCTAGGATGAACATTAGAAACTCACAAATTTAAGCAGTTCAATTCAAAATAGGAAAATTCTACCTACAAACATCAGAAGACAGAGGAGCCTGGCGGGTGAATAGACCATAGAGTCACAAAGAGTTGGACACAACAGAGTGACTGAGCACATACATGCGCACGCGCGCACACACACACACTCATGCACACACATGCTATAAGAAAGAAGTCTTCCTCAAGGAAACAACAGCTTGCACCTTACAAGCCTCACAGCACTAATTCAAGGGTTAAGTCTTAGTACTATGTCAACATATGAACTCAACATAATCAGATTAGGAAATATTACCTGTGGATCTGATCTTGCCTGCTAGAGCGAACTGGAGCTAATCCATCTATTTCATCAAAAAATATTATAGAAGGTCTCATCAAATATGCCTAGTATAAAAAGAAAACAAGTATTAGTTTTCATTTTTAATTTAATTACCATTTTTTTTAATAAGTAACAGAAGTAAATAGGTAATATAAGCAAATGGTACAACATGCAGCAGGTAAGAAAAACTATAGAGGAAAAAGAAAAGCTCCTATCTCCTCAGTCTCCAATCACAAGGTAATGATTGGAGTTACCTACCCAGCAACTAACTACTGTTTTCAATTTGTTTATTCTGCCATACGTGTCATTTACACACATACACATACATGTATTTTTAAACATACTATTTTATTAAACACATTTAAACATACTATTCATATTGCTTTTATCATATAACAGACTATTTTATGTTAATGACATATTTTAATTAGCTCCCATGTAAGGATAGAAGAAAAGCATTCCTACAAACTCTAATATAATTTAAGAAAAAGCAAGGTCATTCTATGAAAACTTAGAGCAAAAGGAAGGTGAAGAGTCTAAACCTGCAGAAATTAATACCAACAAAGGATGATAATAATTTTAAAGACAGGTTTGGCTTAAAATGTCAAGGTGGACTGGAGAGGGCTCACTGGACCCCAATCCTTGAAGCTAGATCACTGGATTCAAATCATATGTGGACAGGATAGGGAGGGTGAATTACAAGGATTCATGGAGTGGCATCAGATGACCAAGAACATAGGAGTGGATTCCTGCCCCAACCCACTGGCATTCATGTGGATTTTTTTAATTCAACTTGATTGGCCATTCCAAAGATTTTTTTTCCCCTATTTTTGGTGATTGGAGCCCTAAAGGTGCACAATGGAATTGTGTTTTGCATTTTTTGGTAAAAGGAACAAAGCAAGGACCTGGAAATACACACTGGAGCAATCTCCTGGGGAGGATTCAGCATGAGTAGATTTAAAGGTGAAAGTAGATTTAAAGAGTTTGTTTAAAACAATAAATCACTAAGTCATTTCTAGGGCTTCAGAGGTAAAAGAATCTGCCTGCAACTCAAGAGACATGTTCGATCCCTGAATCAGGAACATCTCCTGGAGAGAAATGGCAACCCACTCCAGTATTCTTGCCTGGGAAATCCCATGGACAGAGAAGTCTAGCAGGTTATAGTCAGGGGTCACAAAGAGTCAGATACAACTTAGCAACTAAACAACAACAAAAGTCACTTCTAAGTTTAAAGAAAACAAAATTCGGATTGAAGATTAAGTAATTTTCCAATTGGCTATGCCATTTTCCTTTGAAAAAACTATATTTTAAAAACTAAAAAACATAGTCAAGGTAATAGAAGAAGTACCTTCCTCTGACCAAGAGGTAGCAGACAAGTTTCCAGACACCATTAAGAAAACCACTGATGAAAAAGTGTCTGAACAGGTTTTTAATACAGACAACAGTGCCCCATTCTCATTTATTAGTAAAGAAGAGAAATGAGCACCAGGATTTAAGGCTGTTTCTTTGTTATCAACGCATGAATCGTGATACCTAACAAATATGAATTTTTTTCATTTTATTTGTTCATTTTTGATGTATAGTATAATATACATAACATCTACAGTGTTTTGCATTATATAAGACAACATTGACATAGACTGAGAGAGAATTCAACTTATATTCAGGCAATGTAAAACTTTGGTTTTGGTAAATATAGTACAATATTGCAAATCTCATGATTTTAACATTTTCTTCTCTCTAGCTTACTTTACTATAAGAATACAGAGTATAATACATAATACAAAATATTCATGCTAACTGTTTATATTATTGGTAAGGCTTCCTATCAAGTAGTTAAGTTTGGGGGAGTCAAAAATTATATACCAATTTTCAACTGTATGGAAGTTGGTGCCCCTAACCCCTGTATGGTTCAAGAGTCAACTATATACACTTCCTTTTAGGAAAAATTCATATTAGTCCAATTAGATAGGCATTATTTGCTCCATTTTATAGAAGAGGCAAATAAAGCTCAAATGCTTTCAGTTACTTAAAGTTACATACTTAATAGGGCTGGTATATTTATATATATACTTTATATATAAGTATATATACTTATATATACTTAATAGGGGCTCAAATAGTAAAGAATCTGCCTGCAATGCAGGAGACCCATGTTCAATCCCTGGGTCAGGAAGACCCCCTGGAAAAGGGAATGGCTACCCACTCCAGTATTCCTGCCTGGAGAATTCTATGGACAGAGGAGCCTGGTGGGCTATAGCCCATGGAGTCGCAAAGAATCAGACAAGACTGAGAGACTAACACTTTCACTTTCATATATACTTAATAGTAAAGTCAGATATGAACTAACATTTTTCTGACACCAAAGGCCAAACTCTTAGCCAATACATTGTATGGTCAACCCTCAGTATCTTCTGGGGGGTGGGGGGGCCACTGATTCCAAGGCTCCCCAGAGATACCAAAATACAAGGATGCTCAAGTTCCTCACATAAAATAGCATAGTACTGTCAGCCCTATATATCCATGGATTCCACATCTGTGAACTCAACCAATATGAGATGAAATTGTTGCCTGAATCTGTGGATGCAGAACTGGCAGATATGGAAGGCCAACTGCACCTCCTTCATCTCATTTAGAGAACAGATTATATCCTTAATTTAGGAATGTAGACTCTTGTCATTTAAAAAGACATATAATGACTACAAGCAGTTTTTTTAAAAAAAAAGAAAGAAAACATTTCAAATCTATTGCCCACAAAGAAACAGAAATGAAACACAAATAAAGTATATATAGATTTAAAAAGCAACATGGAGACTCCCTGGTGGTTCAGTGGTTAAGACTTCACTTTCCAATGAAGGGGGTGCAGGTTTGATCCCTGGTAAGGGAGTTAAAGATCCCACATGCCTCAAGGCCAAAATAACCAAAACATAAAACAAAAGAAATACTATAAAAAGCAGCATGATTTATGCTATGGTTTTTGATAAAACCAAGAAACATTCCTACACCCAGTATCAAGTTGCAAAAAGTATAATACTGTCAAAAATTTAAGTCATTGGACAATTTGCCAGTATTCCCAAGCTGATTCTCCCCAAAACCACCAATGTTATTTTACATTATTTTCCAATTATTAAGAAATCCTCTTGAAACATGAAGACTGCATATGTTTGACTTCTCAATAGACATCGAACACCTTGACGTTAACAATTTTACTTTATCCCTCTTTCTAGACCCATTATCTGCAACACAGCAGTCTTTAACATGGATACTGATAATAACTAAAAATAATATTTGAAATGCTTTACCAATTAGGTAGAACTTTGATACACATCAACTCAGTAATGGGTATTCAACAAATGCTTGCTTTAAGCATTTTTAAAGTGTCATGTGAATCTCCTTAGGCATAACAAGATATAAATTGCATTACCATGTATGAATGACCCCCTTCAGTACCCTAAATAATTAAAAAGTGAATTTATATCAGGACTAATTTATATAAGTATTAGGAAATGATATTTTTAAAGTTATACATAAGTAGTAAAGATAGCCCAAATAATATTCACTTACCTTACTCAGCCTTTTAAAAGCATTCATTTAATACTGAATTCTTCTAGTATATTTGTAACTCATGAAAATAAATAATATACTGCTTTGTGATATTTCTTGCACAGATATTTAACTTTTTATGTTTGTTCTAGTCCTTCAATTAGATTATAATCTATATGTGGTATCTAGGGATCTCAAAAGCACTTAACATGGTATTTATTATATGCCAAGTTGCCACCTCAATAAATATTCTGTAAATCATCTTAAATTAGTACTAGTGAAACTGCTACTAAATACCTCTAAGACATACAAATTCCAATTACTGATCCTAAATTTAACACACTGATTGGTAAATATGACTTGTTATGAACAGTTTGTGTAATATTTATAGACCAAGTGTATTAAGTATTCTTAAGAAGATATTCTCACATTAGCTGACTTCACTTACCTGATCAAAAAGAAGCCTAAGCTGCCGCTCAGATTCGCCAACCCACTTACTCAGACAATCCGCTCCTTTTCGCATAAAAAAAGCCACCTTTTTGTCTCCCTGACTGCACTCGTTAGCTAATGCTCTGGCAACCAAGGTTTTACCTGTGCCAGGAGGACCATAAAACAAACAGCCTCTAGAGGAATAGAGAGCCAATAAAAGTAAATTAGTGTTACCATTAGCACTAATTATCAATTTAAAAGCATGCACCTCCCATATAATTTTGAATTAATGTATATTTATTATTATTAGACACCGACAAAGCTTTTTGTAATATACAGGCAAAAGTTTCACTTCGCTGAGAGTCCTCAAGGATGTTCTCAAACAATCAAGCTTTGGTATACAAGAAATAGTTCAATCAGGGTAGACAGTAATTTGGCAAAATATTAAAGGCATTAGCCCTGTGATCCAGAAATTTCACATTTTTTACAAAATCATGTAGAAATAATCAAAAGAATGTTATAGACTTTCTTAAAAAATCTAAATGCTATCTATTAATAAGGGACAAATACACCACTACATCTATAAATTAAACACTAGTATGATGTCAAAAAGAATAATACACACAATATTTATTAATATGAGATATCTATATTATAGAGTGAAAAATAAAGTTATATAAGGACATTATTGAGTAATCTCATTTTATTAAATGTTTAAATGCACACTATACAGGCAAAATCATAAACTTAATATATGCATATATGTATAAAGGAAAGTTGTAAAGAATATAAAAACTGTTCATCTCTAAAGAGGAAGATTACTTTTAGCTTATAACACATTTTGTTTATAACTTCATTTTTTAAAGTTCCTCATTAATGAGTTTTTTAAATTTACTATTTTTTAATAGTAACTGAATCTAATGCATATGATCAATACTGATCATATTCATTGGATCATATCATATAAAAAGTAAATAAATTGCTATTATGATTCGTAAGAGCCACTGTAGAATTACAGGCCAACATTTAACTCACTCAAATAGAAGATGACTCTTTAAAAGATTTTCTAAATCCTTAAAAGGATGAATAACAAATTAGAACCAAATCTCTTAAATAAAAAGGGATATTTAGCAATTTAAATCTATGTGTACATCTTCAGAATATTTTATTCTGCCCAATTTCCTCTGACATGATTTCTCAGCCTTTTCTAATAGTTAACTAGCTAACCACCTCATGATCAGACACAATTAATCTGATCATAAACTATCAAGTTTACCATTTCAAAAGTACCACATCATTGAGTCAAAGAAACACTTCACTGAAATTGTGCTTTCAAAGATTAAACAACATATAGTGTCAAACTCAATCCTATTAGACCAAATTAAGGAAAATCTAGTTGGGCAATCCACTTGTATATTCAAGGCCTGCATAAAGAATCTCATCCTAAGTCTGAGTCCAAAATGCTGAAATATAAATTTCAACTGCCATAGCTTTTGAGCTCTAAATAATAAACTTTCATTCTTAATTCTCATTGCTACTGCTACTGCTACTGCTAAGTCACTTCAGTAGTGTCCGACCCTGTGAGACCCCATAGATGGCAGCCCACTACATATCAAATAAATATACGTGAAATATTTATAAATAATACTTAGATTTATAATTACTTACTAATTAAAATTTGATAAATTAACAGGAACAATAATAAACATCTAGCATTACTAACCTTGGAGGCTGAATTTTAAATTTTTCAAAAATTTCTGGATATAAAAGTGGGAATACTACCATTTCCTTTAGTGCATGAATATGATGACTCAATCCACCTATGCTATCAAACCGCACCTTGGAAAGAAGGGGAAAAGTTTAGCACAAAATAATTTTAATTGTATATAGGTTTCTTTTTAACTTATGAGATAACGATTGCAAAATACATGTCTTCAGCAGGAACTGAAGTTTAAACATAAAGTTCATATATAAACAGAGTTCAAAAAATTATACTTTAGGGAATCCCCTGGCAGTATGGCGGTTAGGACTCCACGCTTCCACTGCAGGGAGCATGTATTCAATCCTTGATGGGGGAACTAAGATCCCACAAGCTATGTGACCAAAAAAAAAAAAAGAAGTATTTCTAGAAAACCATTTACAAAACTTACTGACTTATCAATATTCATTGGATCAACATCAGCCAAGCTTGCACCCACTTTAACACGTTCTCGGAGAATACCACTAGCCAAATCTTCTGCTCTTAAGTTCATAGGCAAACACCTGAAATTCATAAAAATTTAAGTAGACAGCACTAAAAAGTTACACATTCTTAATATCATAAACAAGTTTTAAAGCTTTGACACGTTTTTTATTTTTTTATTGAAGGATAATTGCTTTACAGAATTTTGTTGTTTTCTGTCAAACCTCAACATCAATCAGCCATAGGTATACATATATCCCCTCCCTTTTGAACCTCCCTCCCATCTCCCTCCCCACCCCACCCTCTAGGTTGATACAGAGCCCCTGTTTGAGTTCCCTGAGCCATACAGAAAATTCCCATTGGCTCTCTATTTTACATATGGTAACATAAGTTTCCATGTTACTCTTTCCATACCTCTCACCCTCTCCTCCTCTCTCCCTATGTCCATAAATCTATTCTCTATGTCTGTTTCTCCACTGCTGCCCTGTAAATAAGTTCTTCAGTACCATTCTTCTAGATTTCATATATATGTGTTAGAATATGATATTTATCTTTCTCTTTCTGACTCACTTCACTCTGTATTATAGGTTCTAGGTTCATACAACTCATCAGAACTGACTCAAATGTGTTTCTTTTTACGGTTGAGTAATATTCTACTGTGCATATGCACCACAACTTCTTTATCCATTCATCTGTCAATGGACACCTAGGTTGCTTCCATGTTCTAGCTATTGTAAATAGTGCTGCAATGAACAATGGAATACACATGGCTTTTTCAATTTTGGTTTCCTCAGGGTATATGCCTAGGAGTGGGATTGCTGGGTCATATGGTGGTTTTATTCCTAGTTTTTTAAGGAATCTCCATACCATCTTCCATAGTGGCTGTATCAATTTACATTCCCACCAACAGTGCAAAAGCATTCCCTTTTCTTCATGCTCCCTCCAGCATTTATTGTTTGTAGACTTTTTGATGATAGCTATTCTGACTGGTGTGAGGTGCTACCTCATTGTACTTTTGATTTGCTTTCTCTCATAATGAGCAATGTTGAGCATCTTTTCATATGTTTGTTAGCCAGCTGTATGTCTTCTTTGGAGAAATGTCTGTTCAGGTCTTTTTCCCACTTTTTGATAGGGTCGTTTGTTTTTCTGGCATTGAGTTGTATGAGCTGCTTGTATATTTTGGGAATTAATTCTTTGTCAGTTGTTTCATTTGCTATTATTTTCTCCCATTCTGAGGGTTGTCTTTTCACCTTGCTTACAGTTTCCTTTGATGTGCAAAAGCTTTTAAGTTTAATCAGGTCCCACTTGTTAACTTTTGCTTTTATTTCCATTACTCTAGGAGGTGGGTCATAGAGGATCTTGCTTTGATTTATGTCATCAAGTGTTCTGCCTATGTTTTCCTCTAAGAGTTTTATAGCTTCTGGTCTTATATTTAGGTCTTTAATCCATTTTGAGTTTATCTTTGTGTATGTTATTAGGAAGCATTCTAATTTCATTCTTTTTTATATGTAGCTGTCCAGTTTTTCCAGCACCATTTATTGAAGAGGCTGTCTTTGCCCCATTACATATTCTTGCCTTCTTTGTCAAAAATAAGGTACCCACAGGTGCATGGGTTTATTTCTGGGCTTTCTATCTCGTTCCATTGGTCTACATTTCTGTTTTTGTGCCAGTACCATACTGTCTTGATGACTGTAGCTTTGTAGTATAATCTGAAGTCAGGAAGGTTGATTCCTCCAGCTCCATTTTTCTTTCTCAGACTGCTTTGGCTATTTGGGGTCTTTTGTGTTTCCATATGAATTGTAAAATTTTTTGCTCTAGTTCTGTGAAAGATGCTATTGGTAATATGACAGGGATCATATTGAATCTGCAGACTGCATTTGGTAGTATATCATTTTCACAATATTGATTCTTCCTACCCAGGAACATGGAATATCTCTCCATCTGTTTATGCCATCTGCTTTGACACATTTTTATCTTTCTCCCTTTTCTCATAGCCCAGAAAATGACAAGAGATTTCATACTTTTAACCTACTTTTCCTAAATTCTTTTCAATAGATCAGAAATAAATTTATTCATAAGACAAAGCAATTAAGGTCATGAATCTATTTGTCCAAAGAGTCCAACCTAGTCTAAATAAGAAAACTTAACAAACCTGATATTCTATAAATATAAAATAAAAATAGACTGTATATACACTATTAATATTATATATGACATTAAATGAACTCAAGCTTTATTACAATATTTAAATTTATCCTTAGTTATTATGTATGTCAACTCAGAATACATGATTGAAGAAATAAGTTTCCTTCCTTTTAATTCAAGAAAAATCAATTTTAGATCCTGTTTTGAAAATTAAGCCTTACTTTTTGTATAGCTACCTTAAAATACTTTAGCTACTTAAAATCCTATACAATATTAATTTAATTATCCCTAAGAAAATACAATCTACTGCCTCTTTTAATATTGCATAAACACCAAAAGATGACATAAATAGCCTCAAAAAAGTATAGGTTCTATAATGAATGTAACTTCACTGATATTTCCTAATCTGAATTTACATTAAAAACTTCCAAAGCAGGTATCAGAATAGTTCAGATTAAAGAGGCATTACACTATTTTATTTAAACTTAGATTTTCCTTACATTCTCTTTCTGTCATCCACACAAGGAACTCTTTCTAGCATACAATCTACACCAATCCAAACTTGTTTCCAAGACCAGCTAACTGAAAACTTGGTATTTCTACAGTAAATATATAATGCTAATGTATAGAAATGTTTTGCGAAATATAAAATTTCTAAATATAATTTATCTTAAGTATTATACATATAAGCTAGAAAATTAACTTAAATTTTAAAGGATAAATTATAATTGGATACTCTACTAGGCAAAATATTGATTCTCTCCCCCATTGAAAACTCTCAAAATTTTAGTAAGCCATGTAATAATGAATCACTCTAGTTAAGCAAAGATCACCAGAGGCATTCACTCAACCAAAACTATAACAAGGTTTTCAACAAAACCCAAGGACTCCTGAAATAATTCTATTTAAAATCAAGTCTTACTCTAGAGTGCTATCATCATTTTAAGCATCTAAAATCAGCCTCATTAAATGGATTTGGATTAGAGGAGAGGTACTGAAGAAGAGACGGTCATAGAGGTTGTACTCTTCCCCTGGTTCTATCTTTATCTTTCCACACTGTTTTACTGAGTACTAACACAGTAAGTAATTTATGGGAAGTTTCCCATAGTTAGATTTCTACTCTAAAAATTACTATGTAAAAACCAAGTTAGTGTATTACTCTAATGTGTTGAGTACCACTGTGAGCAAACTACTGGTACAGGTTAGAGTCACAAAGCTTAGCTGCTAGTCCTTTTTCCCACCATGGGAGGAACAATCAGAAATTTACTGACCGATTTCTGGCTCTTGCCATGCTCTTTGATTTCCTTCTTTCAAATCGTTCTTCATCAGAAGAAGTTGTGTCACTACTGTGAATAGCATGCTTCTTTCTCCTATTTAAACAGAGTAAAATCCTTAAAATCATTACAGCAGCAAAGGACTTTTAAAAAGCACCATTCTGAGCACCACACCTACTGTTAGCTCAGTATAAAATACATACATTCACTCATTCATTAGGGAAATATTTATTAAGATCCTTATACTCATGCAATTTACAACAGAAGGAAATAAAGAAAAAAACAGGAGGAGAAGGAGGCTATAATTTTTTAAATAGGGTAGTTTAGAAAGCCATCAAGCAACAAATTTAATTTGCATCCAAATTTAGGGAATGTCTATCACTGATTGATAAATAACATCAAAATCTTAGAAAAGAAAGCTTATCCTTTTCTCTTATTTTCCCATTTCCCAAACAATCAGAAACAGTACAGACGCTAAAGAAAATAATACATTGGTTTATGGGGAGACAAGAGTTTCCACTTTTGACTTAAAATACTTATATCCTGTCCAAATTTCTTATAAAACATACTTTTCAAGAAAAGTTTACAATCATAACTACTATGGCATGAAAGTATCAAATTGAAATCCTTGAGGAAAAACAATACTCAATAAATCTAATTATTAAAATAACCGATGACATCTCTACGATACCTAGAAAATATGGTAGCATACAAAATGGAATCATTATAAATTTACTTGAAACTCAGAATGGCCTTCAAGAATGGTATACACCCTGTGCATCTCTATTCAACTCCAATTCCCTCAATAACAAACCCAGATTTTCCCCAGCTCATTAAGACTTTTAATCTAATATTCCTTCTCTTAATTAATAGGAGTCCTTTCATTTCATCCTGTATCATATTTTAATGTTTCCCAAGACCTTAAGAAGATTGTTTCAATAGTTACCTACTCAGTCTTTGCAATTTTGATTTTACTTTCTCTCTGACTTCTTTCTCTCCTTAAGAAAAAAATGCCTGTTTCCAAGTTTATTTTCTCTATGTGTGTGTGTTGTGAGCCTAATATATAAAAATATAATACATCAGCTCTAATGAGGTGATCAGAAGCAACAGTGTACATACTGGGCTAAGGAAATGACTCCAGATCATAACTTGAATTCACAAGAACAAACAAAGAGACCCAGTATAATAAAAGTTACTATCCAAAACCTATAAACATACTTGATTACCTTTCTTCTCTCACCTTTTTAAATAAAACAGAATTATAAAAGTAATTCTAATAACATATTACTAGGTTTATAAAATGTATCACAATACCACAAAAAGCAGAATGGACCATAAAGGGAAGGGGCCACATCATACACAAAAGAAAGTCAAAATGGATCAAAGACCTAAATATAGAGCTAAATCTATAAAACTCTTAGAAGAAAACACAGGAATAAATCTTCATGATCACAGATTTGACAATGGATTTTTAGATATGACATCAAAAACATGAATAATAACAACAAAGATAAATTAGACCTCATCAAAATTAAAGTTCTTTTTGCTTCAAAGAACATCATCAAGAAAGTAAGACAACCCACAAAATAGGATAAAATATTTACAAATCAAATAGCTGATACGGAATCTGAATCTAGAATATATAAAGAACCCTTATAAGTCAATAAGAAAAAGACAATTTTTAAATAGGCACAGGACACAAAGACAGTTCTCAAAGGAAAGTTTTTAAATGGTCAATAAGCACTTGAAAAGATGCCTCATATCATCAAAAATTATAATGAGATACATTTTATACTCATTAGGAGGACCAGAATGAAAAAGTCAGACAGTATTAAGCTTTGAAGAGAATATGAAAAACTGGATAACCTATACAATGATGGAGAGAATGTAAAATGGTATAGTCACTTTGGAAAACATTCAAGCAGCTCTTAAATGATAAAGCATAAAGTTATCACATGGCCCAGTAATTCTCCTCCAAGGGATATACTCAAGAGAAATAAAAACATATGTCCAGGAATTCCTGGCAGTAGTTAGGACTCTGAGATTTTACTGCCAAGGATGCAGGCTCAGTCCCTGGTCAGGGAACTAAGATCCTACAGGCCATACGGCATAGTCAAAAACAACCAGCAAAAAAACAAACAAAACAAAAATCCGCTAAGCCTCAGTGACAAGATTATTAACAACCACGAACTCTCTAAGATATAAAATATATCTTTCTTAAGCATCAATCTTACAGAGGACATGCTAGAGGCATTCCCAATAAAGAGTGAAAGTGAAGTCACTCAGTCGTGTCCGACTCTTTGCGACCCAATGGACTAATGTAACCCACCAGGCTCCGCTGTACATGGGATTCTCCAGGCAAGAATACTGGAGCGGGTTGCCATTTCCTTCCCCAGGGGATCTTCCCGACCCAGGGATCGAACCCAGGTCTCCCACATTGCAGGCAAACACTTTAACCTCTGAGCCACCAGGGAAGTCCTCCCAATAAAGAAGTGGGATACAATTAATATACAGAAATTAACTGTTTGCATATATACAAACAGCCATCTGAGAAAAAATATAAGATAAAGAAAAAAAAAGGACATCTTTTATGTAATAAAATATTTATACATTATACATAATTTGATAATAAATGTGGCAACTGTAATCAATGGAGAAAACACAGACTCACTCAATAAATGAGGTTGGAAAACTCATTTTCCACCTGGGAAAAAAGCTGGATCCATACTATAAATCTCACACAAGAATAAAATTCAGATGGATCAAAATTAGAGTAAAATATGAAACATTGAAAATAAACAAATGTGCTATATGCATAACTGATTCACTCTGCTATACACCTGAAACTAACATTGTAATCAACTATACTCCAATAAAAATTTTAAAAAAGAAAACCATCAGTATTCTAAATAAAATAAAATAAAAATAAACAAAGGTGAACTTCCTTAACACTTTGGATTTGGGAAGGCTTTTCTAACTATGATTCAAAATCTAAAAATATTGTAACTGTTGCTGTTCAGTCCCTCAGTCATGTCCAACTCTTTGCAACCCCGTGGACTGTAGCACACCAGGCTCCTCTAAACAGGGGCCCACTGGGTTCCTCTGTCCATGGGATTTCCCAGGCAAGAATATTGGGGTGGGTTGCCATTACCTTCTCCAAGGCATCTTCCTGATGCAGAGATTGAACCTGCATCTTCTGCTTGGCAAGCAGATTGTTTACCACTGAGTCAACTGGGAAGCCCCTCTAAAAAATCATAGTAGGCTGATAAATTTGACTACATAATAATAAAAACTTTCTGGTAAAGACAACCAAAAGCAAAGTTAAAACACAAACTAAGAACTGAGAAAAAAGACTGACAATTTGTGACAAAGGACTACTATACTACATAAAGAAAGAACTACTTGTTGTTCAGTCACTCAGTTGTGTCTGGTTTTTTGTGACCCCACGGACGCAGCACACCAGGATTCCCTGTCCTTCACCAACTCCTGGAGCTTGCTCAAACTCATGTCCATTGAGTCAGTGATGCCATCCATCTATTTCATCCTCTGTCATCCCCTTATCCTCCTGCCTTCAATCTTTCCCAGCATCAGGGTCTTTTCTAATGAGTCGGCTCTTCAATCACAAAGTATTGGAGCTTCAGCTTTAGCATCAGTCCTTCTAATGAATATTCAGGGTTGATCTCCTTTAGGATTGACTGATTTGGTCTCCTTGCAGTCCAAGGGACTCTCAAGAGTCTTCTCCAACACCACAGTTCAAAAGCATCAATGCTTAGGCATTCAGCCTTCTTCATGTCAGACCCATATGTGACTACTGGATAAACCACAGCTTTGACTATAGGGACCTTTTTCAGCAAAGAAATGTCTCTGCTTTTTAATACGCTATCTAGGTTTGCCATAGCCTTTCTTCCAAGGAGCAAGGGCCTTGATTTCATGGCTGCAGTTACCATCTGCAGTGATTTTGGAGCCCAAGAAAATAAAGTCTGTCATGGTTTCCATTGTTTCCCCATCTATTTGCCATGAAGCAATGGGACCAAGTGCCATGATCATTGTTTTTTTGGATGTTTAGTCTTAAGCCAGCTTTTTCCCTCTCCTCTCACCTTCATCAAGAAGCTCTTTAGTTCCTCTTCACTTTCTACCATAAGAGTATTGTCATCTGCATATCTGAGGTTACTGAAAGTGACTCCACCTTCTGCTTCATCCAGCTCGGCATTTCACATGATATATTCTGCATATAAGTCAAATTAGCTGGGTGACAATATGCAGCCTTGATGTACTCCTTTCCCAATTTAGAACCAGTCCATTGTTCCATGTCCAGTTCTAACTATTGCTTCTTGACCTGCATACAGGTTTCTCAGGAGGCAGGTAAGGTGATCTGGTATTCCCATCTCTTGAAAAATTTTCCACACTTTGTTGTGATCCACACAAAGGCTTTAGAGTAGTCAATGAAGCAGAAGTAGATGTTTTTCTGGAATTCTCTTGCTTTTTCCATGATCCAGTGGATGCTGGCAATTTGATCTCTGGTTCCTCTGCCTTTTCTAAATTCAGCTTGAACAACTGGAAATTCTCAGTTCACGTACTGCTAAAGCCTCACTTGGAGAATTTTGAGCATTACTTTGCTAGTGTGTGAGATGAGTGCAATTGTGTGGTAGTTTGAACATTCTTTGGCATTGCCTTTCTTCGGGACTGGAATGAAAACTGACCTTTTCCAGTCCTGTGGCCACTGTTGAGTCTTCTAAATATGCTGGTATATCAAGTGCAGCACTTTAACAGCATCATCTTTTAGGATTTGAAGTAGCTCAGCTTGAATTCCACAACCTCCACTAGCTTTGTTCATAATGATGCTTCCTAAGACCCACTTGACTTCACACTCCAGGATATCACACCATCGTGGTTATCTGGGTCATTAAGGTCTTTTTTGTATAGTTCTGTGTATTCTTGCCACCTCTTCTTAATATCTTCTGTTTCTGTTAGGTCCATAATGTTTCTGTCCTTTATTGTGTACATCTTTGCATGAAATATTCCCTTGGTATCTCTAATTTTCTTGAAGAGACCTTTAGTCTTTCCCATTCTATTGTTTTACTCTATTTCTTTGCATTGTTCACTTAGGAAGCCTTTCTCATGTCTCCTGGCTATTCTTTGGAACTCTGCATTCAAATGGATATATCTTTCCTTTTCTCCTTTGCCTTTCACTTCTCTTCTTTTCTCAGCTATTTCTAAGGTCTCCTCAGACAGCCATTTTGCCTTTTTGCATTTCTTTTTCTTGGGGATGGTTGTGATCACTGCCTCCTGTACAGTGTCACAAACCTTTGTCCATAGTTCCTCAGGCACTCTGTCCATCAGATCTAATCCCTTGAATCTATTTGTCACTTCCACTGTATAATCATAAGGGATCTGATTTAGGTCATACCTACTAAAAGAAGATTAAAAGCAAGCAGCTTCACAGGGTCATATAATTTTATAAATTAGCAATAGTTTAAAAAAAAGCAAGAATCTATTATAAAATAGGCAAACTTTACAGACATTTCAGAAAAAAAAGTAAACATCTTTTAAAAATACAGGAAGAAATACTCTTGTAAGCGATTCAAAAATAAACCAACATTTCCTTTTCAATTCTCAGACTGGCAAAAATCCAAAAGTTTGAGAATGCATTTTGCTGGCAGAAATACAGAGAAGTAGGGACTTTCATACATTGCAGGGTGGACTGCAAGCTGATTCAACAGAATTGAAGGTCATCAAATTACAATTTCACATTCTCTTTAACTCAGAGATTCCACTTCTATAAGTACACATGCAAAAGATGATTATGCAAGGGTATGCATTATAAACCATACCATGTAATAGCAAAACAGTGAAAACAACCTGACTCTCAATAAAGAAATAATTTTAAAATTACAGTGTAACTATATTAAATACAGTAATGTTATGGAACTATAAATGTGAAATTTTGCTATACTTAAATGAAAAGACAGTGAAAACAAATCCAGTGAAAAAAGAACAATGTGCATAGTGTATTTTGGGTAAAAAGAAAGGATAACAATCAATATATGTATTGGTATATATATATATATACACACACACACATATATGTATGAACATATTCTCTAAGGACATACAATCTAATAAAAATGTTTCTATGAGATTCTGAGAGGCTACTGAGACTAGAAAACAGCTTTTAATGTTTATTTATTTCATTTTTGAGCCATGGGGAATATATTACCTTTTCAGAAAACAAAGTGGAGAAGATAGTCTTTCAAAATCAAAATCAAAATGCTTCTTTGTATCTAATTGAAAGAGCAAAAGGAAACTAAAAGTAGCAAAGACTAACTGAATCAATTCTTCCAATGAAAGTAATGTGAGTCTCTAGACTCAACTTACTAAGAGACCAGAAAGCTGTTTAGCTTTAGGGAACATAATTGTTAAAACAATAATCATTTCTGGCAAACTGAATCAGAAAGAAAATAGTCACACATAGTGTAAAAACTATTAGTGACTAATTAAAGAAGATGCTATTTAGTTTTCACTGGCATTATCATTAACGACATTAAAACCTATATCCTCAATGTAATACATTATACTATGTAGCACTTAAGGAGATATCTAAATGATAGAGGGAAATATTTCCCCCTTTAAAAACTAACAAAACATACCTGATATGACTTCTCCTTGCTGGAGATCTGTGAATATCAAAAAGGGTATTTTCCCTCTTTTTTTGATGAGCTGGTACTTAAAAAAAAAAGAAAACACAGAAATAACTAATAATANAAACTAACAAAACATACCTGATATGACTTCTCCTTGCTGGAGATCTGTGAATATCAAAAAGGGTATTTTCCCTCTTTTTTTGATGAGCTGGTACTTAAAAAAAAAAGAAAACACAGAAATAACTAATAATAAATTGATAAACTGATATATTAAAGATGCAGAAATTACTTCTATTAATTTTCTGAATAGAAACTGTCTTCAAGTTCTAAATGCTGTCTAGAGGAAGCACAACAAAAATAAATACTTTGTGGTAAACACTATAAGCTGCAAATAAACATTCTAAAAAAAAATGTTAAACTAAATCTTTGTGACTTTAGGTTAACCAAAGATTTATTTGACATATCACCAAAAGCCTAATCCATTAAAATGTTTTGATAAACTGAAATTCATCAAAATTACAAATTCTGCTCTTTGAAAGATAGTATTAAGAGAATTTTTTTTCAAGAAGCTACCAACTGAGAAAATATTTGTAAATCACAATGACTGATATCCAGAGTACATAAGGAACTCTCAAAATTTCAATAATAAAAAACCAAACAACTGAATTGAAAAAATGGGCAAAAGATTTGAATACTTCACCAGAGATAATCTTGGCAAATCAGCAGATAAAAATATGCTAAACATCACTAGTCATTAGCGAAATGTAAACTAAAACTACAATAAATATGAATTAAAATTAATTTTAAAAAATGACCATACCAAATGTTGACAAGAATATGGAGCAACTGAAACTCATATACTCTTAGTGTTAATTGCTCAGTCGTGCCCATCTCTTTGCAACCCCATGGACTGTAGCCCACCAGGCTCCTCTGTCCATGGGATTCTCCAGGCAAGAATACTGGAGTGGGTTGCCATGCCCTTCTCCAAAAGATATTCACAACCCAGGGATTGAATCTAGGTCTCTCACATTGCAGGCAGATTCTTTACCATATGAACTACCGCCAAGGGATTCCATACACTGTTAGTGAGAATGTAAATGGTATAATTACTTAGGAACAGTTTGGTAATTCTTAGTAAGTTAAACATACACCTAATTATAAAACCCAGCCTTCTACTTCTAGGTATTTATAAGAAAAATGAAAACATAAGTTCAAACAAAGACTTGCAAACATATGCTCATAACAACTTATGTATTTATAATACCCAGACACCAGAAATATTAACAATCCAAATGTCATCAACAAATGAATGGGTAAACAAATTGTAATATACCCATACAATGGAATGCTACTCAGCAATAAAAAGAAAAATACTACTGTCATAGTCAACAACATGGATGAGTCTTACCGTTATCGTGCCGAGTGAAATAAGTCAGACAAAAAAGAGTATATACTATACATAAAATTTGAGAAAATGTAAATTCATCCATGGTGACAGAAAGCAGGTAAAATAAGTCACCGCCTGAGGGTTGGGAGAGGGAGGCAAAAGAAGGTTGAAATGAAATGAAATGAAAGTCGTTCAGTCATGTCCAACTCCACGGACTATACAGTTCATGGAATTCTCCAGGCCAGAATACTGGAGTGGGTAGCCGTTTCCTTCTCCAGGGGATCCTCCCAACCCAGGGATCAAACCCAGGTCTCCCACATTGCAGGCAGATTCTTTGCCAGCTGAGCCACAAGGGTTAGGAGTAGATTATAAACAGGCAGAATGAAATTTGAGGATGGAGACATTGATGAAAAATGCTTATTATCTTGACTGTGGTAACAGTTTCATAAGTAAATCCCTAAGGTATTTCCAACTTGCCAAACTGTACACATGAAGCATACGCAATGGCAATGGATTACATATAACTCATATCTCAATAAAGCTTTAAAAAAAAAAAAAACGCTAGAAAAATGGCTCACAATCTTTTCTCTGTCCTAACATACATATCCTGTTATTATTAGGGGTACCTGTGACAGTGAGTCCTAACTGGAGTAGAGAAATGTCTACATACTTCAGCAAGCTTCTAGTGAGGTAACTTTGATATTTCCAGAGAATCAATCACTGCTTTAGAACATGAAAGTCTGAATAAAATGATCCATTATGCTAAATGAAAGTAGCAAGACACAAAAGGTCACATATAGGCAAATCAATGGAGATAGAAAGTGCATTAGTGATTGCCAAGAGCTGGGGGCACGGAAGTATAGATGTAATAAAATATTACAGAATTAAACAGTGGTGATGACTGCACACCCTTGTGAATATACTAAAAACTCATAAATTGTACAGATTAAAAAAAAAGCAAAGCCTGGATAAAATGACAAATTTCATGATATGTGAACTAAATTTCCATACTCTAAAAACTGGAGGAAATCAATCATGATGGAATTTCCCAAGAGCTGGGGAAATAGACAATAAAATAGAACCTATGGAACTGATACTTGTCATCAGATTTAAAAGTGTTAGGATAAACTGTTTCCTTCTCAAGACTAAAACAAAACAAACCTAGCTTACTGGCCAAGCTGCCCTTTTGTGACTTTAGCTTAAATTACTTAACCACTTGGAACACAGAAAGGCTTGCCCTAAAGAACTGCTACAAATGAAAGTACTCAATAAACAACAAAGTAATACAAAAGTATGAGCAGTATTTATTATTAAATTTAGGATTATTTAAATAAAATGTGCATGCACTATGAAATTCTATATTGCAGTTGTATCCTCCAACATTCAGTCATGTGTGTGACTAGAAGCATACATAAGAAAAGATATACAGAATCTGTAAGAGATTTCATTCTTTTAAATTCAACAACACTAATTTTTTTTAAGGAACCGAGCAGAATAAGCTACTCTACCACAAAAAGAAAAGAAGTTACTTAGAGTCTCTTACCTATTGGAGGTGCTTGGTATCGATCCACTGTTTTTCTTTGTCTCAGATTATATGGCCTATCATTCTCTTCTCCTTCTGCTTCTTCAGCCTCTATATCTCCATCTTCCTCTTGAGATTCTAGTTTCCCACACACGAAAGAAAAAAAAAATCTGCTTTAATCCACAAGGATTGGTCTACTCTAAAACTGAATATTTATATCTTATCTTTTACTCTTTCTACACAGGTGACATTTAAAAGTGTCAACACTGTATGATACAGCATAAATCAATGCAATTAAAAATGAAACTAGACAGATGTAAAAGAAAATGCCTTTCCTACAAATATTATAGTTCTCTATTAAATATATCAATATGATCACAATTGAGCTCTTGATTCACCTATGACTTTTCAACCTTTTCTTTATCTTTTTGGACATACAAAGCAATAAAAGAATATGATTCAAAACTTTATTACAGCAAACTTCATTCAATGCCCAATTAAAAACTGAATACAGTTAGCATTCACATACTACTTGATAGTTCAAAAAAAATATGCTTAAAAGATAATTACTAATGTTACACAAGAACAATTTTTGTTGGCAGTGTAGTGGTTTATTAGGCCCACTGATAACAGGTAAACACAGATTAGTTACATTTTTGGTAGAAAAATTCAGGCAGAGATTGGGATAGAGTATGAAAGCAGATTTCTAGGGTATTGGTAATAGTTTATTTCTTGACATGAGTGATCAGTTTATAATTTACCTGGCTATACATTTAAAAAATAAATTACAATGTACATAAATCCTTTAATTTTAAAAAGTGATTTTGCTATAGCTATGATGTGACATAGTTACAGTTTAAAAGTCTAGTGAAACACTGCTATATTTAAAATGGACAACCAAAAAGGACTTATTGTACAGCACATGGAACTCTGCTCAACATTATGCGGCAGCCTGGATGGAAAGGGAGTTTGGAGGAGAATGTATACATGTATATGTATGGCTGAGTTCCTTTGTTGTCCACATAAAACTATCACAACATTGTTAAATAGCTATACCTCAATATAAAATTAAAAGTTAAAAAGAAAAGAGAGTTTGGTGAACATGTGTAAGCTTAGGGTCTTCAAATGCAATGTACTTTATGATTAACTTTTTAACCACAGGAATTATCAATATAACACAATCATATTAAAGCACTGGAAAAAATAAATAAATAAAGCACTGGAAAAAATTTTAAACTGTCAGTGATGCTCAGTGAAACATGAAACTAAAAATTCAAAGGACTTTACATTTTACTCATGAGAAAATTAGCAAATGCAGTATTACTTAACTAAATAACACTTTAAATTACTTGTGTCCAAATAAGTTTTCTTAAAACTTCAAAAAATTACCTTTTGGAAAAAAAAAACCTGCATTATTTATTATGAGAAAAAATTCTAAACATGGCAAGTCCTCGGGGAAATCTACAAAGGTGTTCAGTTAATAATAAGGCAAAAATCACATTATAAATCTGTCTCACCTATACTGATTTTCTCCAAAGGAAGCAATATAGAGGTTCTAGCTGTAACAACAACAACATTTGCTCAATAAAATACCTTCATTAAAAATATCAACTCTTCAAAACTTACTAATATATTAATTACAGAATTTGAGAAATAAACCCATTCTTATCCATCTAAGTTACACGAATAGTAGGAACTAATAAGATTTCCCAGTGAAAAACAACTACACAGCATTTTAAATACACCAAATCTTCTAAAAATCCATTTTAACAAAGAAAGTGAACATCTACAGAATTAAACCCTATAAATGTAACTCCTATAGATTGTACTAGTCATCAATTTATAATCCTCAGACAATGTGCTTTCATCTACTCCCAAATCCAGCCTGACAAATTCAGTCAGGATTCTTCAAATCAGAACTCAGATAGGCCTCAGAAAAAAGCAGTACCACTCCCTCCAGTAGTATTAGCAATCTTTCTTTAACTTCACCATCATCTATCCATAACTAAATTTGAGATCCAAATAATCATAGATTTAGGTGGCTATGGCCAGAGATTTCCAACTAAAAAGTACCTAAATACAAAAGAGGTCTTGCCTACTAACAAGCAAATCAACCCATTGCAAATGCTACATCAGATTAGGTCATTTAAGAACTACCAACAGCTTACTAATAAGATATATCAATATTACACAACAATGCATCAGTTCAGTTCAGTTCAGTTCAGTCACTCAGTCGTGTCCGACTCTTTGTGACCCCATGAATCACAGCACGCCAGGCTTCCCTGTCCATCACCAACTCCCAGGGTTTATGCAAACTCATGCCCATCGAGTTGGTGATGCCATCTAGCCATCTCATCCTCGGTCTCCCCCTTCTCCTCCTGCCCCCAATCCCTCCCAGCATCAGGGTCTTTTCCAATGAGTCAACTCTTCACATGAGGTGGCCAAAGTACTGGAGTTTCAGCTTCAGCATCATGCATAGCATACAGCAAAGGTATTTTTCCAAGTGAAGGAATTAAATACTCAGAACTGCCAATGGAACAAAAATTATTCTGAATTATGTAATATAGACCTCTAAAGTAAAAAATCACCCATTCAGCAATATATTATATACACACACACATACACACATATATATATAGTTTGTATGTTTCTCTTTCCTCCCACCTGAACGTTGTAGCATTTATTTCATAAAGGTGCTTTACAAACCTTCTTCTTCACCCTCAGTAGAGACTTCATGATGATTTTGTATCCCGTAACTATTTCTTCTCAGTGACTTTCTTCGCCTTTTCACTCTTGAATACATATCCATGTTTTCCTTTTAAAGAAAGAAATCTGTCAAATATTAACATGAAATTTATTCCCAGCCATCAATATCACTAGCCCAATGGGACATGCCCACTTGATAAAATTTACTGAGGATCTATTTGCAAGGCACAGATCAACAAAAATGAACCTTACTGAATTCAATAAATGTATGAAACAAGAAGAAAAATAAAACTTATAAGATACTTGAAAACTGGGCAGGGAGAGGGGAAATGTGCCTAGGGGAGTGGGGGAGGAAGCATCTGAAATGAGCCTTGAAACAAAGATAGAACTGCATTAAGTCCTCAACCAGAAGTATTAACAGGAGTAAAAGATAGGAAAGGAAGGATGATGTGTTTGTATTTGGACAATGGTGTGTGGGAAGATAAAGTCTGAAACCATATTATGCCAGTCAAGGTGTTTTGGGGTTTTTTTAATTTATTTATTTTTAATCTGGAGAATATTGCTTTACAATGTTTTACTGGTTTCTGACATACATCAACATGAATCAGCCATAGGTATACATATGTCCCCTTCCTCCCGAGCCTTCCTCATACTCCATTCCCCTCCTCTAGGTCATCACAGAGCACTGGATTTGAGCTCCCTGTGTCATATAGCAAATTCCCACTGGCTATCTAAGGTGATTTTAATTAATTCAGCACACATTAAAAAAACATTAAAGGGACTTCCCTGGTGGTTCAGCAGTTAAGACTGCATACTTCTAATGCAGCAGATATAGATTCGATCCCTGGCTGGGGAACTAAGATTTCACATGCCTCACAGTGCAGCCAAAAAACCTTAATAGTTGACAGAATCAGAGTTGTACTTTTAAGATGTTGTTGTTTAATCACTAAGCTGCATCCAACTCTTTAGCCACCCCATGGACTGTAGCCCACCAGGTTCCTCTGTCCATGGGATTTCTCAGGCAAGAATCTGGAGTGGGTTGCCATTTCCTTCTCCAGGAGATCTCTCCGGCAAAAGGGTAGAGGGTCTTTTGAGGAAGCTTGTGGCAAACAAGGTACGGATAAAAGAAAAAAGAAAACAATAAAATCTCAGATTAAATTGGAAACGAAAAAGGACAATTCTGTTAATTCAAGAAAATCCAAATGCTACTCTCTCTCTTTGAATTCCTCAATCAAAATAAAAACTACTTGCAATGGTGGTTGTTGTTGTTGTGTTAGTTGTTCAGTCATGTCCGACTCTTTGCAACCCTGTGAACTGAACCCCCCAGGCTCCTCTGTCCACGGGATTTCCCAGGCAAGAATACTGGAGTGGGTTACCATTTCATCCTCCAGGGGATTTTCCTGACCCAGATATCAAACATGGGTCTCCCGTATTGCAGGCAGATTCTTTACCCTTTGAGGCACCAGGGACAGTTGTTAAGGTTAACATACTCACAAATTCTGTATCTGTCCACATTCGAAGCCGTTCTACTTCTCCTGATCGACGATTCCGTCTGATGTTTATGTTGTCCATTTCCTGTAGTACAGCTTCAGCAGTACTATNATCTGTCCACATTCGAAGCCGTTCTACTTCTCCTGATCGACGATTCCGTCTGATGTTTATGTTGTCCATTTCCTGTAGTACAGCTTCAGCAGTACTACAATTACATAATAAAACTAGGGTTTAGACAATTGCAGGATCAAACTCTGTATCATTCAGGTAAAAGAGCTCACCATCAAAGCATAATTAAGCCATCTAATTTCTAACTGTACCTAATATCCCAATTAATATCCTCTTCTGAACTAGCATCCATTAGAAGATAATGCCTCAAAAACAGATGAAAACAGGGAATGCCCTGGCAGTCCAGTGGTTAGGACTCAGGGATTTCACTGCTGGGGCCTGGGTTCAAACCCTTCTCAGGGAACTAAGATCCCACAAGCCATGCAGCATGGCCAAAAAAGAAAAGAAAGACAGAAACAGAACATCTTCTGTCATGATATATTAACATAAAACTTACAAATAGAAGACCTTTGTTTACAAGGCTTCAAATATTTAAACTCATAATACTATTACAAATAACTGACTATCAGATCCATGGTACCAAAAAAAAAAAAAAACTAATTCAAATCTTTTTATTTGAGAATGGTGTTAAAAATTGTATAGAATAAAATAAATAAATAAATAATTTAAAAAATTGTATAGAATAAAGAAATTGTAAAAAGTTTAAAGCCAGCATAAGGTTAGCTGAACTGACATATTTTTTCTTTTCTTAAAAATCTACTTATTTGTAAGTAAAGGATAATTGCTTTACAGTATTGTGCTTTCTGCCATACATCAACATAAATCAACCATAGGTACACATATGTCCCCTTCCTCTTAAACCTCTCTCCCACCTCCCACTACAAGGGCGGATACACTTTGAAATTAGAGGACACTGACATCCACAAAATATATACTGACACTGACATTTTAAACACACATGGCACTTACTATGTGTTCAGATACTGATCTAGGTACTTAACAAAAAATAACTAATACTCAAATTTGACACTACCACAATAAAACATAATTTCCTCTCCTTTCAAAAAGGAATTACACTCATCTCCCTTCTCCAAGCTATTACAAGGATTAAATAGGATGATTTGTTATTTGAGAAGAATACAGTTTCATTGTACGTAGATGCTGAGGAGTCAGCTAGGCTATATCCAATATGTGCAGTCTGAAAAGACTTTCAATTCAGAATCTTGACTAAGTAAAACTATACCTATTATATATCAGTAATGGAACTTAATGTTTCTTGAAAACTGTCAAAACACAAATGTTAAATGAGCAAATATTACAGGACTATAGTAGTGAAGTTAAAATAAAATTACTTTTTATATTATCTAACTAAGCACAAGAGCTTAAAAAGTATGAAAAAAATATGCTATCACATAAATTGCATTAAATCTAGTAAATTGACTAGAAATTAACAATTATTGCTAACCATGATTAATTCATATTAAGTTTTTAAATAATTGTACTGATTGCTAAGTCAGTGCTTAAGTTATTTTTTTAAAACATAACTGGCTTAAAAAAAAAAAACAATTACATGAAATTGCTTACTGCAAAAACATTCATACCTGTTTACCAGTTGATCAAATAACAAACTCTGGTTCACACTTTCAAATCTGTTTTTCCTGGAACGACAGCTTTTTCTGACTTCCATGTCACCATTTATACAAGAAAGGTCCCCATCTCCTTTCTTTTCCCCTCGATGGGGATGGCTTCGAAGGGCTACAAGAAGAGAAAAATTTCCATTTCAAAGTACAGAGTATAAAAAGAAAGAAAAAAATCAAAAATTACTTTAAAAAGACTATAAGGAGCTTACTATAACCTCTTAAATGGCTTTAATATCCAATAATGTTAAATTTCTAAAACTGTTTACAATTTGTCATGATAACTTAAATTATTTCAATTGTACTAATTTCTCAATGTTTAACAATTATATACATATTTACCATGACTGAAATCCAGTCACTTCCAACAGTATGCTGAGCATACTAGTAAATTACTCTATTTTACCCCACTTTAGAACTCTAATAACATTATAAGCATTTCAATACTAACCAGTTTCATAACAGAATACTCACATAAGCTACTATGTCCGTTTGGTAATGTAGCACCAGGCTGAGAAGTTAACCTAGAACACAGTTATATTTAATATGCAAACACATCAACATTCATTTAAAGAAACAAAAATGCAATGCTGGTGGAATCACTTTAATCTTTAAAATGTCACTAATGCAATATTAACTTTTTTAAAAGGAAAGATAACAATTTTTTACCTTAAGATTGACAATATACAAATTAATAAAATACACTAGTGAAAAGTCATTTCATTACTTCAAGAAAAGCTTTAATAACAAGTTATAAACTGAACTTACTCTGTCTTCAACTCTATAAATTAAAATCCAATGAAAAAGGTTAAGCTTTGTATGTATCATAAAGTTAACTAATGCCATAAACAGCAATGGTCACAGACCTTTACTACTTGTTTCCATTGACAACCTAAGATTCAAACAAAGTTATCAAACAATAAATTGTAAGAAGAAAAAAGTACTTGAACACCAACAATGTTTAATAATTTCTTCAAAGTATTATATTACACATTCTAAACTAATACATGAAAACTTAATCTCTCAAAAGTCATTGTACCACTCTCCCTTTTGGTGGAGGGACAGAAATGTTAAGTCACTAGAAAGATACTTAAAGTGTCATCAAAATATGAAAACTTATGGAAGAAATTTGCAGTATACCTTACTATAATTAAAATTCAACAACAAAAACTAAAAATTGTTACATAATAAAAGAGCTGTCAGCGTAAACTTTTTTTTTTAAATACCCAACAATTATTATTTCCAAATATTAAAAAGGGGAGAGAGAGGACATTCAAAAAATAGTATATATGACTTTCTTCTGCTTATCTATGTGATTCGCACAACAATTTTCTAACTAAAATATTCTAACATTTTTGGTTACTCCAGCATGCTTTATGTTAATTATAAATATTAAATGTTATAAATATTAATTATAAATGTCTTTGTCTAGTAAAAGTCACAGACAGGATGACTATATGATATAAACAAAAACTATTACATACCTTCTGACTATCAAGAACACAAAAACAAAAAACTCCATCCCTCCTTTCCCCAGGAAAACAACACAACCATCTTGTTCTAAAATACTACTTCTTGGAAAGTATTTCATTTTTAGCATCTTTATTACACAATTCTCCTGGTATATGAACTTGACTATCAGTAATAAAATTGATGTGTTATTAGGTTATTCCTTAGAACATTATACATGTGGAACTTCCTAGAATCACTCTTAAAATCCACTTAAAACCACATAGAAAAAGCATAAATACACTTTGGCTTTGGACCCAACATAACATTAACTCAGTTTAATCAGTTAATTCACAACTCTTAGCTTCAAATGAATTTTAGCCGTATGTAAGACCAAATGGTTGGAATTTCACATAAATTATTCCAAAGAAAAGATGCTAACCCTAAAATCATTCTACAAAAGAAATCTAAAACTCTGTTGAAAAAATAACATCACTAGGATGAAAGCACAGTAACAATTTTTGTTCCTCTAAAGAAGACAGTGCTTACTTGCTTTTATTTCATTGCTAATGAAAGATCTGATTTAAGGTGGGAGAAAAAAGAAAACTTCTTCAATCAATCCCATTATCTTACAATCATAGCTTATTGTCATCATTGTACCATTATTATTTCTCTTTATAAAAAGGAGAAAGAAAAAAAAAGGAGATAGAATATGAAATACTTGGGTATAAAAAGATAATATTGGTATTTCAAGGCTTGGTCTGCCTATACAATTATATAGGTGCTTTAAAAGTCTCTTGAATCAATGTTCCCAAAAATTAATCACTTAAAGTGTAACCATGCAGGTTCACTGATTAAATGAATCCTCTAATAAATCCTTTATGAAGTCCCCTTTGTTTATTTTTAAAATGAGGAGTAAGTGGGGGATATTTCCCTTTATCTCTGTACCCTAAATTTTTTAAATGGAGACACTATCCCTGCATTCAGTAATTATTACATTAAAAGTTTCTACACCTTTAATTACATGGGACACACTACCAAGTTCAATACCAGACTCAAAAATCATTACTTATTCACCCACATAAACCCAAGGCATTCAATGATTTATGAGGATTTTAAACCTCAATTCAGCAAAAGCATTCATTTGGAAAAACTTTACCCACTAGCAGCCTTCAATTCTAATGAGCCTCAGCAGTGGTGATTACACTTCTGCCTAACCTCACTACTCCCTAATCATCTGACCACAAAACAAAATTGTCACACATATTACACTTTAGTGCACAGTTAGGCTTATCAAAGATTTAATTTCGTGTGTTTCTCAGAGTATGTCTCTCTATTATTCTACAGACATCAAATGCATGCCATGTTCTCCACATTGACTCTCCCAACCACCTACTCCCCAAACACACAGCCTCCAAATTAGCTAAATATCTAGTGGCTAAATAAATGTCAACTGACAAAAGTCAGTGAAATGGGATTCGGAACTCAAAATATTTGTAAGCTGCAACAGCTATCTAGGTTAGCAAGTATATTTATGAATTTCTACATATAAGCTAAAGAAGAAAAGATGTAGCAATACAGTAAAGATTTTAACCAAGAAAATCCTCATTTTACAATCTCTCAATCACTGTAACTATATTGATAAACTTGGGACTTTAAATATATAAACCCAGATTCCTCCCCCAAAGAAAACTTATAATCTATTTCAAATCATTTATGAAGACATCAAAGTTCTAGTTCCATTTTAATCTCTATTTTCATCCAATCTCTAAAAGTTATTCCTAAATGTTATTTTACAAATCAACAGTAGTTTCTTTAAAGAATTTAATGGTTGTTAAAGTCCTTTAACAGTCATCATTTTTCATAGCTAATACTAATTTTTATCTTTATTCAATTTTCCTCTAAATGAACTGTATTTTAAAGTCATTTTTGTCAAAGAAATTCAGTCATTTTACCTTAGATGCTCTTAGGACTTTAGATTACCAAAATAAAGGAATTAGGATTCTCAGGTTCATGACATAAAAACTAATATAAGCACTCATATAAATCCTGGTTTTTGTATTTATATTATCTCAAAATCTAAAATATTTTTAAACTACAAGTTTCCCAAAAATTCAATTCTGTTGAATCTGACAGACCAAATGGCATTTTCTTTTCAGTTCATCTGAAATACTAAAAGATTCTAGCAGTGTAGCACTTAATCACATTCCTCAATGAAAGTTTAACCCAAAAACATTTAAAATTGTGTGAACTGCTAAACATTATTCTCTGCCAAAACAGAAGCAGTAAATTCTATTAGTATTCATTATTTCTTAAGTTTCTTATTCAAAATGTACTTAAAGTTTTTTTAAAGGAATATCAAACTCTTAAGGTATCTAAATGGAAGCAAAACTCTCTCTTCTTTTTACATGAAAGACATGATCAAGATTAATTTATACAGATCTCTGAGTGGATAAGATGTGAGAAATCTACTATACTAGAGAGACTCATACTTGAGTTACACTGTTAAAATTATCTTAAAATTAAAGGCGAAACTTTTAACAGTAAAAGAATACTTTTTAGAAACGTCTGTTAGAAAAATAAGCCTGATTCACTCATCTAATGAACACAGGATACAGATTACAACCCATAAATCAAGTGGAGAAGTATAATTAAAGGGAAGTATTATTTTAAGTGACATCATTATAGTGATCTGGATCTGTTTCATCTCACAGATGAATGAGTATGGGAAAGCTGGGAAAGTTAAAAAAAAAAAAAAAGACTGATTCACATAGTTTTCAACTTAGCTCTCAGACAATGCAAAATTAAAAATTTTAACTAAAGTGGTACACATTAAATTAGGCATAGACTCCTTAGAGACTAGTAAATGTATAATGCCTATCAAAATCTATATAACTCCAAAGATTATTTTCATTAAAAACTAATAAAAATGTCCAGAATTTCCCTACAGACATAAAATAGAAATACTGTCAAAAAGGAATTCCCTTTTACTTTTGTTAGCATTTGGTACATCATCAGCACTTTTACATCAAAGACTTTGGATAAAAGAGAAGCTAAGGATTCTAAGCTGAAAATTTAAATCTTTTCTGAGTGTGTGTACAGCTATCCTATCTACATTAAATTAGTACCACTTACTTTGGTGAGTAAAATTATGTTCATAATACATATCAAAACAGACACAAAGAAAATTTAAGTTGAAAACAATCAGATACATGAAAAGATTTCTTAAAAATTAATTGAGATTTTATTACATTTTAGCATACCAATTCAAGTGGAATATTTAATAATTTTAGGAAGAAGAGATTTTATTTTCTAATAAAAAATATACTTCTAACCATTATTTTTATTTAAATTTTCAGGAGTATAAACATGTATGCACATTCAAGACCTATCAAAATTCTTAACATTTTAAGTAATAATAGTTTCTATTACATACTAAATGTATTTTTGGTATAGAGAAAATAAAATTATACACAAAAATTATAAAATAAGCTTAATACAATTTATAAGTATTCCCAGACAGGTGGTTTTACAATTTAAGAAAATTAGCATTAATATCAGCCCTGATTCCCATCCAAAAAATTATGAAAAAACAATGGGTGAGTTCTCCCTTCTCACCTGGCCTGTCCACTTGATATGTTCCATTCTTCTCGCTGACCAGTAGTTCGTGATTTTGATTTGTCTTTGCAAACAGAGTCAGGTTGTTTCAAAGTGCGTTTGGCTGGAGGAGACACGTGGCTATCACTTAAACTACCATCAGCTTCAGCTTTCTGAAAGAAAAAGTTTAAAATGTATTTACTATTCTTATTAAAATTCGTGGAATTCTTAAATTCCTGGATAGTGTTTATTTAACCAAAAACTATCTACTGAAGGAATCCCTCTGCAAGTGTAGCAAAATGTAATCTGTAAATACAGAAACAAAAAACTTAGAAAGATAAATTTATGCTCAAAAAAGTATGTTTAGCTTTTATTTTAAAATAATTTCAAACCTACAGAAAAGATGTGTAGATATATATTTTTATGACATGATTCATCATTCCTCTCCAAAATAGTCCAGTGTGTAACTCAGAAAGCAAGAAAATTCTGCTACATTAGTATCATTCAATCCTTCCAACTAGGAAATCATCATTGATACAACACAGAGTTAATTTGCAGATACATTCAAATGTTATCAAATGTCCCAACATGGTCTCTCTTTCCTTTCTGCTTCAGAATTATATCCAGGAACATATACTGTATGTAGTTATCATACCTCCTCTGTCTCCTATCTGGAACAGTCCCCTCAGTTCCTCATGCCCTCAGTTAAGAATATAGTCTTTTTAATTCTCTGGAATGACCATCAGTCTGGGCCTACCTGATGTTCCTCGTAACCCAATTCAGGCCATAACATTCATGGAAGGATATACAGACATGATACTATGCATATTGTATCTACCCATCATTAAGAATAATCTTGATCACCTAATCAAGTTGGTGTCTGCCAGGTTTTCCCACTATAAAGTCACTATTTTTCCCTTTGTATTTGATTAGTTTATGTGAAATCATTCTTAAAATTAACCAATACTCTGTTCTTCATCAAACTCACTAGCCACAACATTCACTGACTACTACTTGCCTTTATCCGATACCATCATGGTGGTAATTATCTAATCCAATCACTCCTATATAGTTTAGTTGGCATCCTAGTAAGAATTTTCCCTCCCCAACCCTCCTTATTCAATTCATTCACTCATTTCCTAACTGGGGGGAAAGAAAAAGGCAAGATTTCCTCAAGTTTGTTCAGTAAATTCATAGAAATTGCTAGGAGAAACAAAGGAAAGCTCATAGTCAAATAAATTTCAGAAAACAATGAGGTCCAAGGTTTTTTGCTTCAGGACTTGTAAGAGTCTTTAGTATGTTAATATGCAGGGACTTCCCTGGCAGTCCAATGGTTAAGACTCTCTACTTTCAATACAAGAGGCCCAAGTTCTATCCCTGGTAGAGGAACTAAGATCCCACAGGCCACATGGTGATACAGAAAAAAAGTTAATATGCAATATAAATCTCCAAGTATGGATGACAGTATATAACAATTCACAAACTTATTTAACAAGCTCTTTTTTCACGGAGCATCTGTCAGTTCAGTTGCTCAGTCATGTTCGACTCTATGGGACCCCACGGACTGCAGCACTGTCCACCACCAACTGGAGCTATCTGTAGGTACTGAAGTTTCACAAACACACTCTGGGAATAAGTACTATGTACTTATTGAATTAAAGGAAAAACAGTAAAAGTATTTGAAGTCAAGCCATTTTTTAAATATGTGAGTTATTATACAACTCTGTAAATATTATATAACTAATGACTTTGAACATCATAAGTCATATGAGTTTATAAGTTTATTTACTAGTCATTCTCTCATATTCTACAGGCTTTTTACAGCTTCATTCAGGAGTATCTCTCAAAGTGTTGTCCTAACTGAAATACTAACTAAATAGTATCAGTGATACTAACTGAATCAGAAAGCACCTGATTTGTCATTAAGAAACATAACCTGCTAAACTAGAACCTTGGGTGGAGGTGGGATATTTTCAATGAGGGCCTCCAAATGATTCTCAACACACAGAAGTCTGAGGACCTCCAGCATATAAAAGATTTAAGTATAGCATGATACACATCATTTTAAATGCTGCACGGTACCACTCCTACAGTGAAAACACTTCAATCGTGACTCGGCGTATAAACAGCATTACAAAGGATTCCCTCCCTCCAAAGAACTCTAGGGATTTAAGTAAAGCAAAAAAACCAAGATGCAAATACTACAAAATAATTACTTCAACACCATCTAATTAACTTCAAGCTTTGGGAAAGCTTTACCTACAAACCTGATACCAACAGTTCACCTTTAATAGGATGATCATAATGCTTAACTTTAACTTCTTCAAAGCATTTTACTAGTTAATTATAACCTAACCCTTTGAGGGAAGGCGTTGCTAGTTTCAGGATAAAAATATTTAGGAGAGATTATGCAATCTACCCATAGTCATTTAGCAATATGTGTCAGAGTGATTACAATCCATGAGCAGGAAAGGCATTTCAAACAAAGGGAATAATTTCATTTAACAAACATTTGTTGGAGACCTACTGTGCACATAAGACATGGGGTGAGGACTAGGTAATGGTTTAAAAAAGAGACTAAAGCCTTCTTAAACCTTAAACACAATCTACTGAACTGATAGCTACAGTAATGATATATAGCAAATTATAGTAAGTTATGTAATAGGAATGGGATTCCTTGGTGGCTCAGATGGTAAAGAATCTAGAAATACACAATTCTCTGAAAGCAAAAAATGGTAACTGCCAGCTGAGATGAAGGAAGACATCATAAATCATGTGGATTTTATTTTATAACAATAATGGAACACCTAGAATTGACAGAGGAACATGATTCAATGATGTGATATATTCCGAGAGGTATAATAATAATAATGTCAAATCGCACAAAAAATAAAAGTACAATAAACAGTTGTCCTTCCCACCTAAGTGACTTTTTGACTAAATTCTAACCTTCTAAAATAGGTAGAAAAGTTTTCCAATTTGTAAAAGTTAATCCCTTGAGTTTCTTAAACCATACTCATCAGCTACCACAAATATTAAACACTATTCTACCATAAATCTCCTAAAATTAGGTAAAAAAAACTTGAGAATAATGAAACAGAGAAGAATTTTATGCTGCCCCGGTTTTCAGGGAAGACTTCCTGCCCAGATTAGAATTTGTTCAGAAATCTAGAACCTGGACTTAAAAGACAAAAAGAATGTACCCAAGCACAGCATTAAAAAATGAAAAATTCAAGGCAGTAAGTGAATTAGTAAACCAAGAGATTGATTCAAGTCCTGATAATGGATTCATACAGCATTACAGATGTAGAAAATAAGAAATTGATTCCAGGAAACAGAATAACTAAGAGATTCAGTTCAGTTCAGTTGCTCAGTCTTGTCCGACTCTTTGCGACCCCATGAATCGCAGCATGCCAGGCCTCCCTGTCCATCACCAACTCCCAGAGTTTACCCAAACCCATGTTCATCGAGTCAGTGATGCCATCCAGCCATCTCATCCTCTGTCGTCCCCTTCTCCTGCCCCCAATCCTTCCCAACATTAGGGTCTTTTCCAGTGAGTCAGCTCTTCGCATGAGGTGGCCAAAGTATTGGAGTTTCAGCTTCAACATCAGTCCTTCCAATGAACACCTAGGACTGCTTTCCTTTAGGATGGACTGGTTGGATCTCCTTGCTGTCCAAGGGACTTTCAAGAGGCTTCTCCAACACCACAGTTCAAAAGCATCAATTCTTCGGCACTCAGTTTTCCTTATAGTCCAACTCTCACATCCATACATGACTACTGGAAAAACCATAGCCATGACTAGACAGACTTTTGTTGGCAAAGTAATGTCTCCGCTTTTTAATATGCTATCTAGGTTGGTCATAACTTTCCTTCCAAGGAGCAATCGTCTTTTAATTTCATGGCTGCAATCACCATCTGCAGTGATTTTAGAGCCCAAAAAAATGAAGTCTGACACTGTTTCCACTGTCTCCCCATCTATTTCCCATGAGGTGATGGGACCAGATGCCATGATCTTAGTTTTCTGAATGTTGAGCTTCAAGCCAACTTTCCCACTCTCCTCCTTCACTTTCATCAAGAGGCTTTTTAGTTCCTCTTCACTTTCTGCCATAAAGGTGGTGTCATCTGCATATCTGAGGTTATTGATATTTCTCCCAGCAATCTTGATTTCAGCTTGTGCTTCTTCCAGCCCAGCATTTCTCATGATGTACACTGCATATAAGTGAAATAAGCAGGGTGACAATATACAGCCTTGATGTACTCCTTTTCCTATTTGGAACCAGTCTATTGTTCCATGTCCAGTTCTAACTGTTGCTTCCTGTCCTGCATACAAGTGGAACACCAATATCAAATGTAAAGACAGGGTGGGCATAAAAAGTGGTTGCTGTGTTTTAGGAGCTATGGAGGAAGGTAGAGGGATGTGGGGGGAGGGGGGTAGTCTACAGCTGCTGATGGGAGAAATGTAACAGTTAATTATGATTTTGAAAGTTAGGTTTAGAATTCTAGCCAGAAATCTAGGGAGATGTCTATCAGATTGTGGGAAACGCAGTTCTGAGACAGAGTGATGTGAGGACTAGCGATAGATATGAAATTATACTAAAGGGGTCACAGGTAACATACAGAGTGAAAAAACAAGAGAACAAAAGTAAAAAACCTTTAAAAAATGTCTATATTACAGAGATGAGCTAAAAGGATCTCACATAAACCAGAGAAAAACACAGTGTCTCACTCAAACAAGGGGACTGGAAGTTGGTCATAAAAAGATCAGATGGGATAAAAGCTGGTAAATGTGTGTATTGATAATTAGGAGGCCATTGTAACTTCTGATAGGGCAATTTCTGCAAAATGCTGAGGTGAAAATCACTAAGTGAAGAATTGAGTGAGTGGTGAGAATGTACAGGTGATAAACCACAAAGCTACTCTTGAAAGTGTCAGAATTAAGAAAAACAAGATGGTAGTCTTAAAGAGGTTACAAAGTCAGAGAAGTCAGTGAAGAATTTTTTTTTTAAGAAACCTGGATTCTTGTAAATAGAAGAAAAGGGACCACAGAAAAGAATAAGCTATAATAAAAATTTAAAGAGGGGAATTCCCTGGTGGTCCAGTGATTAAGACTTGGTGCTCTCACTGCTGGGTTTCATCCCTGATTAGGGAACTCTGTTCAGTTCAGTCACTCAG